TATACAGATCAGTTACTTGCAAATAAAATAATAATAAATAAATTACAACTTTCTCTAAACGTATTTAAATTTTTTTAAACCCTACACCTTAATTTCTTATTTTTTTTTATTTATTTATAATTTTTTTTAAAACGGCGATGTTCGTAATTGAAACTAAAAACGGTAAGCATAAAATATGATTTATTTAGATTATTCAGTCTCTTAAAAAAACACACAACGCAAGAGTTTGTGAGAAGAAGTTCTATCCAAGCATACACCACAAAAACTATGTACAAATCGTTGCGACTCTCTTACACGTTCTACTACTATGTCAGCGGGTATTACGTCATTTGTAGGACTTTCAGCTAACTTTAGGTCGTTGAGGTTAACGTGTCGTTTACATTACCAACCATGAGAAAATACTCGTTTAAACGGCAAAGGGGAATCATTTCAGATAATTAATAATGATTTATGAGCTGCTAAAAGTTAATAACGTTAAAAATATTAATACAAACATAGAAAACGTTGTGTTGAACTCTAAAGTGACCATGCTATTAAGTTTCATTACATAAAAAAATAAAAAGGCAGTCCTGCATATAAAAAACTAACGAATGTAAATTCATGTCATGATACAGATCACGCTACAATGCTGGAATTAAAAACGTAATAAGTATCAAAAAGGCAGTCATAAATGGTTAAAACGTAATTAGACAGTCAAAGATGTCATGGTTGATGTTATAAACGTTAATAACGTCAAAAATTTAGCAAGTGTCGCCATGAACGTTATAAAATTCCTTGATAAACCTTAAGCAGTGACCTTACAAATTTTAATAACATCAGCATGGCTTATTAAACATGTAAAAGATTTAAAATTGTCTTCAAATCCGTTAAAATTACCACAAATGTTGTGATAGATGTTATAAACGTTAATAACGTCAAGAATTTAGCAAGTGTCACTATGAACGTTATAAAATTCCTTGATAAACGTTAAGCAGTGACGTTACAAACTTTAATAACGTCAGCATGGCTTGTTAGACGTGTAAAAGATTTAAGATTGTCTTCAAATCCGTTAAAAATACCACAAATGTTGCGGTAGATGTTACAAACGTTAATAACGTCAAAAATTTAGCAAGTGTCACCATGAACGTTATAAAATTCCTTGATAAACGTTAAGCAGTGACGTTACTAACTTTAATAACGCCAGCATGGCTTGTTAGACGTGTAAAAGATCTAAAATTGTCTTTAAATACGTTAAAAATACCACAAATGTTGTGATAGATGTTATAAACGTTAATAACGTCAAACATTTAGCAAGTGTCACTATGAACGTTATAAAATTCTTTGATAAACGTTAAGCATTGACGTTACTAACTTTAATAACGTCAGCATGGCTTGTTAGACGTGTAAAAGATCTAAAATTGTCTTCAAATCTGATAAAAACACAACAAATGTTGTGGTAGATGTTATACACGTTAATAACGTCAAAGGTAATTAACGTGATGCAATGGCATATTAATATCGTCAAAATGATTTCAAATCCACTAAAAACATGAATGCTGTGGTAGATGTTATATGTTAATAATATCAAAAATTTAGCAAGTGTCACAAACGTTATAAATTTCCATGATAAACGTCAAACAGTGACGATACACCCGTTAATAACGTCAAAATGGCTTAATTAGTGTAAAATTTAAATAAAGGTCTTCAAATTCGTTAAAAACATAAATGCTATTATAAACGTCGTAAACGATTGCTAAACGTTAATAACGTCTAAAATATTTTAATAATGTTTACAAGGTCAAAAATTGGCAAAAGAACTGGTAAAAACGTCATAATAGATGCTTTAATAAAAGTCAAGAAACAGGCTTATGAATACACAAAAATGACAACATAAATGTTTTTATTAACATTAATAATGACAAAAATAACATCTTTATAGATATTGTGTTATGGACTTTAAGAAATGTTAAAAATGTAAAAAAGACGATCACTTTTGAAAATGTCACGATAATATCAAAAGCTTGTAACAAGTATCAAAATCGTAAGTGTATAATGTTCAAAACGTCAAGAAATCATGGTAGATGTTATAAACGTTAAGAACCTCAAAAATTTAGCAAATGTCACGATGAACGTTATACACTTCCTTAATAAACGTTAAGCAGTGACGTTGCAAACGTTAATAACGTCAAAATGACTTAATAAACGTGTAAAAGTTTAAACAATGGCCTTAAAATCCGTAAATTACTTTAATAAGTTAATAACGTTTAAAATGGCACGATAAATGTTTAAAAGCTAAACAATTGTGACAACGGCCGTTAAAAGCGTCAAGAAACGGACTAACTAATAAACAAAAAACTTTAATGACAAATGTATTTATAAACGTTGATAAAGGCAAAAGAGCAATCACAAAAGTTGAAAACGTCGTTAGGAACATCAAAGATGCTGTTGGTAGAGGGTATAAATGTTAATAACATCAAAAATTTTGCACGTACGTACGTTATAAGCTTGCTTGATAAACGTTAAATAGTGACGTTACAAATGTTAATATCAAAATGACCTAATAAAAGTAAAAAAGGAATAAAAAAATGTCATAAAATCCATTAAAAATATTCTAAATGCCATTATAAACGATGTAAACAACTTGCTAAACGTTAATAACGTCTAAAAATGACATGGCAAATGTTTAAAAGGTCTAAAACCGTAAAAGGAACATGATTCACGTAATTATTAATATTGTGTGGTGAAAGTTAATAAATTACATTCTAAAGGTAAAAAAAATGAAAATGTTAAAAACTTGTAACAGGCGTCAAAATGGTAAGTAACAAAAAAGCAGTTGTAAATGTCCAAAACGTCGTTAAGCCAATCAAATATGATTTTGGGAAAGCTGGCTTAATAAAAGCGTAAAGATCAAAAATGTTTTCAAATCCTTAAAAAATTACCATAAATGTTATTATAAACGACGTAAATAACTTGCTAAATGTCAATAAACGTTAATAACGTCTAAAATGGCATGATTAAAGTTTAAAATATAAAAAAATTGCCACGACAACCGTTAAAAATGTCAAAATAGAGATGTTAATAAATGGGCTAATAAACACAAAGACCTTAAACGTTAATAACGTTATAAACTTCTTTGATAAACAATAAGCAGTGATGTTACAAACGTTATTGACGTCAGTATGGTTTAATAAATGCCATATAAAAGACGTAAAGGTTTGATAAACTTTAATTATGTCTATAATGGCATGATACATGTGTAAAAGGATAGTTTTTAATAAACGTTAAGAATCATGATACATTTTAAAAGGATAATTTTTTAATAAACGTTAAGAAAGACTAATCAATGTGAAGAATTTGTTTACTGTCGCGCTCTTTTAGATAGTGGATCACAATACAAAAAAGTAACATGACATATTGATTTTATAAACGTTAATAATGGCATAAATAGCATGATATATGTACTACAGCATTATAGATTTAGTAAATGTCATGATGAACATTATAACTTTGTTGATAAATGTTAAGTGACGTTACAGACGTTTATAACGTCAAAATGGTCCAATAATCGTGTAAAAGATCAAAAATTTGTTAAAAATATAATAAATGCCAGAATAAATGATGCAAACGAATTGCTTAACGTTAATAACGTCTAAAATGACACGATGCGTGTTTAAAAGGTCAAAATATATATTTTTTTATTTCCTTTGGATGTTTTTGATAATTGTTTATGATATATAATCGAATTTAATGCCTTCTTATTTTTAGTCGTGTTAAAAGTTTGTCTAATTTATTTAAAGTAACTTTTATATGTTTCAGAGTAATTCAACTGGTGGAATCCTGTTGATACAACTTAAAGAGGCAACTACCCTCTACTTCATTTTTTAATATTTACCCTAGCTAATCAATAATGGATACATTAACATTATGGTACAATTTTCACCCTTAGTATATTGTATTTGTCAATTTAACATCCTTTTTATTAAAAACTTTTCACTTTATAATACATAGATTCATTAACTATCAATTTAAGTGTGCCTGAAGATGAACTATTTCGAAACTGACAATATTTAAAAAAAAACTTGTAACAAGCTCGAAAACCATCTCTAAACCGGTGCCTACTATATTCGTCTCACCTGTCAACCCATAGACGCGAAATTAGCTGCGCGACGTCCCAGTTTGACGACGTAATACCCGCCATTCGATTTATATTTGTTAACTACATAAAATTCTTTTAAGAGAGCGAATATTTCATGTAAATATACTTCTCAATATATAAATAGACTGTAATCTGTTTAAAAAAAAACTCTAAAATTCATATACATGGAATTGATCTCTTGTTTTTTGTTTTTTTTTTCATCTCTGTTTCGGTCATAGCGACGTTTCGTCCTTTCCGATACGTCGAGAGTAGTTCGTTCGCTTTCACTCGGTTGTTCCTGGTAAGTTATAACTAAAAAACTGTATGTTACAATAAAAGTTCTAGGAAGATTTATTTAATAACAAAAAAGTTGTGCTTTAATAGCGAATAGTCTAATTTTAAGTTTTTTTCTTAGTCTTGGTAAATTTAATTTAATATTAAAAAAAAAAACAAAAAACAACATATAAATATATCTCTCTTGCCCTCGCACAACGTTACCAATTAAATTTATATATATTTATAAATTAAGTGTCTGTTTCCTTCTATCATCGTGTGGAACCGACGTTTTCCTAAGACAAATAGAAAAACGCGGCGATTCCATCGGGATTGACCGGGATATAGGGGGGGAGCGGGTGGATTAGGGGGACACAATACGAAAGTCACTTTTTTGTCATTTTTGTTTCGACAGCTGCAGAATCAGTTTCAGTATCGCCGCCACTGGTTGATTATTCATTTATAATTGACCATTCGTGTTATTCTTGTATGTTCTTTTATGTTTTCGTTTCAACACACTACAATTAGATATATTTTTTTCATAACTTTTTTTTTGTTTCACTATGAGATCACACTGTCGGCGGGCGCGTTACAACTTGTCCGTAACGCACTTACCTGCAGATCGTGCTTGATTCGACTATGACAGTCTCGGCCTTTTCGTCACCTCGCCATTCTCGTCGTCCTCCTCGTCGGAATCGCCGCCCTCGTAGTCCACCAGGCCCTGGAATCAATTCAATCGGTTTTAATACCGAAAATCACTAATTATACTAGTTTAAATTCAACTTCGTCCGCATTTAAACACTTATTAAAGTTTGTAACAGCAAAATTGCAAGGTCAATGTATAACACAAATTAAATACAGTCGAATGCTTGAAAAAAGACATGAATAATAGTAATACTGTCTTTTATCTCTTTATTGAAGCAATACCTCTCACTCAGACGTTGCTACTAAGAAATTTATATGGTCAAGGGCCATTTGCATCGCTAAACCAAGCTTATGAATTAGTTCAAAGAATAGTATTGAAAACAGAAAAAATCCAGTTCATTACGAAGTAATTAAAATGTATTTTTAATAATTAATTCCTGAACTAGTACGAGATTAACTTGTTCTAATATAAATTAATTCTTCAGAAAGTTAATTTGTTCATAAACAACAATACTAATATGTTGGGTATTTAAAGCTTAAGAGATTAAAAATTGTCGCATAATCGTTAAAAACGTCGAAATGATCGATAGAAATGTCAAAAAATGTCGGCAAAACTTTAGAAACAGATGTTAATAAAGGTTAAAAAAGTAAATTATAAATATTAAAATATCAAAGCAAAATCTTAATAATGTTAGAACGTACGATAAGAACATCAAAACATTAAATTATATTTGTTAAAATAAAATTGGAAGCATAGAATATAAAAAGAGTGCTATCTAACGCATGATAGAAGTGAGACTTCTTAATTGAATTCGATCTGAAATAAACAATTGATTTTTTTTAGAATTTGTTTAAATTTATTTGAATTGATTTGAATTTATTTAAATTTATTTAAATTTATTTAAATTTAAATTTATTTAAATTTATTTAAATTTATTTAAATTTATTTAAATTTATTTAAATTTATTTAAATTTATTTAAATTTATTTAAATTTAATTAAATTTATTTTTATTTAAATTTATTTAAATTTGAATTTATTGGAATTTATTAAAATTTATTTGAATTTATTTGAATTTATTTGAATTTATTTGAATTTATTTGAATTTATTTGAATTTATTTGAATTTATTTGAATTTATTTGAATTTATTTGAATTTATTTGAATTTATTTGAATTTATTTGAATTTGCGTGAATTTATTTGAATTTTAAAGATTGTCGTCAAAACATTAAAAACGTCAAGATGGCCATAAGAACACCAAATAAATTGTTAAAAAGTAAAAAATTACCGTCAAAACCTCAAAAGTCAGGATTAATGACCAAATTAAAAAAAAAAAAAAAAATATAAGTTCTAAAATTTAAAAAATTGTAGACGTCAAGAAATTAATATAAACGTTAAAAGGTCAAAAATTATAAAAACAATAAAAACGTCAAGATGAACGTCAAGGACGTCAGAAATGAAAATGTAGACCCCAAAATATTCAAAATGAATTTAGAAACGTTAACATTGTCAAAAATTTAAATTTTAAACCTGAAAATATTTAAAATGAATTTAGAAACGTTAACATTGTCAAAAGTTTAAACTTTAAACGTGAAAAGGTCAAAAGTTGCCGTCAAACCGATAAGAACGTTATAAAATAAAATTATAAACATCAAAATTACAAAAATTATGATCAAAACCTTAGAAACGACTTGAACGTTAATATAAAATAATAAAAGTTAAAACGTCAAAAAATGAAATTTTAAATGAAAAACTATCAAAAATTGACGCCAAAATGTTAAAAACGTCAAAATAACAAAAATCTTAAAACTAGTGGAGGAACGCCAAAAAATAAAATTATAAACATTAAAATGTCAAAAAATTGACTTTAAGGGCGCCAAAAATTAATATATAAACGTGAAGTGACAAAAATCGTAAACAAAACATTAAAAAACGCCTGGATGAACGTCAAAAATTTAAATTTTAAACGTTAAAAGGTCAAAAAATGAAATTTTAAATGATGAACGATCAAAACTTGACGCCAAACCGTTAAGAACGTCAAAAAAAAATCATGAAAAAAACTTTAAAATGAGATGAGGAACGTCAAAAAATAAAATTATAAACGTTGTTAAAGCTCAAAAAATAAAATTATAAACGTTAAAAGCTCAAAAAATTTTATTTTGAGGATTAAAAGGACAAATACTTCAGTCAACACAATAACAAAGACAGGATTGACTTTAGGGGCGTCAAAAATTAAAATATAAACGTAAAAGCACAAAAATCGTGACCAAAACATCAAGAAACGACTGGATGAACGTCAAAAATTTAAATTTTAAATGTCAAAAAATTAAATTTTAAATGACAAACGATCAAAAATTGACGGCAAAACGTTAAGAACGTCAAAATGACAAAAAGATCATGAGAAAAATCTTAAAAACGAGTAGAGGAACGTCAAAAAATAAAAATATAAACGTTAAAAGCTCAAAAAATAGAATTATAAACGTTAAAACCTCAAAAAATTTAAATTTAAGCGGTTAAGAGGTTAAATACGTTAGTCAACACAATAACAAAGTCATGATTGACTTTAACGGCGCCAAAAATTAAAATATACACGTAAAAGCACAAAAATCGTGACTAAAACATAAAGAAACGACTGGATGGACGTCAAAAATATAAATTTTAAATGTTAAAAGGTCAAAAAATGTAATTTTAAATGACAAACGATCAAAAATTGACGCCAAAACGTTAAGAACGTCAAAATGACAAAAAGATCATGAGAAAAATCTTAAAAACGAGTAGAGGAACGTCAAAAAATAAAATTATAAACGTTAAAAGCTGAAAAAATTAAATGTTAAGCGTTAAAGGTCAAATACACAATAACAAAGTCAGGATTGACTTCAAGGACCCCAAAAATGAAAATATAAACGTAAAAGGACAAAAATCGTGACCAAAACATTAAAAAACGACTGGATGAACGTCACAAATTTAAATTTAAAAGGTGAAAATTTAAAGGTAAAAAAAAAAATTTTAAATGACAAACGAACAACAATATTAAATTTTGAAACGGTAAACAGTATAAAAATAAAATTTTAAATGTTAAAAGCTCAAAAAATCAAGTTATTAACGTTGAAAGATCAAAAAATGTAATTTTAAACGTTAAAAAGTAAAAAAATTAAATTTTAAACGTCAGAAGGTCAAAAATTGTCGCCAAAACGTTAAGAACGTCATAATATTAAATTATAAACATAAGGATGAAAAATCGTCACCGAAACCTTAAAATTTAAATGTTAAAAGATCAGAAAATGTCGACGAAACATTAGAAACGTCAAAATTAAATTTTCAAAAATTTTTAAATTGTTGCGAAAACGTTAAAAACGTCGGGATTAAATATTAAAATGAAAGGTCAAAAATCGTCGACAAACCATTACAAAAATATGAAGAAAAAATAAACTTATAACAAACATACAAATATATAAAAGACGATATTTTTTTGTGATGATATAGGTAACTCGGAAAAGTCCAACGGACATTTCTGAAAAGTGGATATTATGTCGAGGGATATGCCCATACAAACTTTTCAAAAAAAAAAAGTGATGTGCGGATGCACCCTATTAAATTAAATAATTTGGCTAATTTCTCATAAACAAAGACAAAATATAATTTATAAAAGAAGAAAACAACAAATAACTACATACTTATTGTGCATACATATTTATACCCTTGTATCTGAATACGCCTCTGTGCAGACACGCGCTTGCATAGAATCATAACCTAATAAAAAAAAACCGATGCAGGCGTGCGAGCGAAGTTTAAATTGAATGGGTAGAATTTAATTGGATAAAAACAATAATAAGTCCATGAGGGCGTAGTTTACATCATCAAACAAGTTAAATTTTTCATATGTATACATCAACAAGATTTGTAAAAGATACATGTGCAACTAAATAAATTTTCAATAAAGAACTTATGCAACAAATTTAAAATTATTCAAGTAACTTACAATGCAAAGGGAATTGTGATTCAATGGTTTCATGCAAAATTGAAACTTTTACTCACCCTTTTGATGAGTTGCGTCTTGCTCTCGGTCGTAGCCTCGACGGGGCTGTCCGCCGCCGCTGCCGTCGCCGCCGGAAGGGCTCCCGCCGTCGCGTTACTGCCGGCGGTGGTGGTAGTGGTGGTCGTCGTATTGTTGTTGTGCAACTGCGGCGAATGCGGTGATTTCGGCGACGACGAGTTGTTGTTCATCTTCGGCCCGTTCGCCTCCGCCGCGGCCGGCGGCGGCCTCTTCTCCATGATCTTCCCGATGCTGTCCAAATCGGTGTCCAATTTTTTGGTCAGCATATCGTTGGCGGCCGGCAGCACCGTTTCGGTGTCCTCAAAATCGTCTTCGTCGTTGAACCACAACTCCTCCTCCTCGTCCATTTGACGCTGGTCCCTGCGGTAGCGGCTGTTGCGCAGTATCGACGGCACGCTATAAAGCCAACGATATTAAAATAACAATAATCCGTCACTTATTAACAAAGTTATTTTTCAATACCTTTTTAATAATGCAATTAATTTGAACCGAACAGATTAAATCTACGAATCGCCCTGTATTTCCCGTTTTATATTGATTTTTAATTAAGGTACAATCGAGTTTATTTAATTTCTTTTCTCTTCACTGTTATTAGCGGTTTGACCCCTGCAACAATTTGTATCTCCATCTGGTTCTACCACATTAATCGTTTTCTATGCGACGACAAAAATCTCTTACACACTTACCCATCTAAACTGTTCCTCTCTCTGTCTTTGAGCTTGTCTTGGTGCTGGTCGTACCTCATCTTGAGCGACTTGAACGTCTGTACGTAACAAATGTCATCCAAACATTTTCCGTAGTTTTCAACGACGTGCGAACACAACGTTTTAATGTCTTCGACTTTAATGAATTCAAACATCTCGATGATGGCCGAATCTAAGAGATTGTAACGGCCGTTGTTTCGAACAAACGCGTCCACGACGGGCGCGAACAGGTTGCCTTTGATGATGTATCTGTTGAGGAAAGAAGAAAAAAAAAGCGTAAACTATAGATCTCATGAGAAAAAAAGGTCATAACCGTTTTTTTATTATTACATTTCTAATGCAAATATTGCAGTCAACACAATAACAAAGTTCGGATAATGCATAAAAGTTAAAAGGGCAAACGTGCTCTCTGAAATATTCAAAACGAATTTAAAAACAAGATCAAAAATTAAAATTTTAAACCTCAGAAGGTCAAAAATAATCACAAAAATGTTAAAAATGTCAGGATAATCGTTAAGAAACTATAAAAACGGCTGAATAGACATCAAAAAATGAAATTACAAACCATAAAAGGTAAAAACAAAAATTGTAAACATTATAAGGTCAAATATTGTCGACACAATAAAAAAAGTCAGGATGGACTTCAAGGATGCCAAAAATTAAAATATAAACGTTTTCAATGGCAAAATAGTATATTATGCAACGATCATGTAATGATGGTTATTAATACACGAGCATTAACCGGGATACGAAACGAGCCAAAGGCGAGTTTCGTATGGTTTATGCGAGTGTATTAATAACCATTACATGAGAGTTGCATACGCTATTTTTTCTACACCCGATAAATAATCAAGAACTATAAATATTATATTCATATTGGTATTGAACACAATAACAATAATTACTCGTGTATTTCTATAAAAAATTCTACAAAATTGTAATTAATGGTATTACTTCGGGTATTGGTATTTCCCTAGATTTTTGCGGCAAAATATTTTGTACTGTATTTTCTGCTTTCTCCGATATATGTGGAGGAGTCTTCTATATCGCTGATATCAGACATTTTAATATTATAATTAACGAAGTTTAGTTATCTACCAAAATTTAATACGTTTTGACAACTAAAACAAATACATAGGAACCTAGGACAAACGTCAAACAGCATGCTTGATTGAAAAATTGTAGGTTTCTATTGATTAAAAATCTGTATCGTAATGAAAAATCTGTATCGTAATGAAAAATCTGTATCGTAATGAAAAATCTGTATCGTAATGAAAAATCTGTATCGTAATGAAAAATCTGTATCATAATGGGTATCATTATGAAACGGATTATGGGCATATAAGTGCATTATTATAATACGGGTGTAGAAAAAATTAAATTTAAACGTAGAAAGGTCAAAAATATTCGCAAAAACGTTAAAAACGTCATAAAATGAAATTATATAAACGTTAAAAGGCCAAAAATCTTGACCGAAACTGTAAAAACGACTAAATAGACGTCACAAAATGAAATTATAAACGCTAAAATGTCAAAAAAATTAAATTGCAAAAATTAAAAGAACAAATATTGTAGTCAACACAATAACAAAGTCAGAACGAACTTCAAGGATGCCAAAAGTTAAGTTAAAATATACACGTTTTCAAGGCCAAAAAAATTAAATTTAAACGTCTAAAGGTCAAAATTTTTCGCATAAACGTTAAGAACGTCATAAAATATTATTATACAAATAAAAGGCCAAAAATCTTGACCGAAACCGTAAAAACGACTAAACAGACGTCACAAAATAAAATTATAAACGTTAAAATGTCAAAAAATTAAATTGTAAACATTAAAAGGTCAAATATTGGAGTCAACACAATAAAAAAGTCAGAATTGACTTCAAGGACGTCAAAAGGTTCAAAATTATCACCAAAACGTAAAAACTGTCAAAAAATTAGGTTATTAAGGTTAAAAGGACAAAAATCGTTAGAAAAACCTTAAAAACAATTGGATTTACGTCAAAAAATTAAATTTGAAACGTTAAGAGGTTAAAAAAATTAAATTATAATAGTTAAAAGTATAAAAATCGTAACCGAAACCTAAAAAAGACGAAAGAAATTCAAAAAATTAAATTATAAACGTTAAAAAGTCAAAAAAATTAATTTCAAAACATTCAAAACGACTGTAAAAACATTAACAAGGTCAAAAATTGCCGTCAAAAAGATAGGAACGTCAAAATGACATAACTATCATGACAAAAACCATAAAAACGAGAGGAGAGACGGCAAAAAATTAAATTATAATCGTTAAAAGGTCAAATATTGTAGTGAAAACAATAACAAAGTTAGGATAGACTTCAAGGACGCCAAAAATGAAAGTATAAACGTACAAAGGTCAAAAATTATAAACGTTAAAATGTCAAAAATTAAATTGTAAATATTAAAAGGTCAAATATTGGTGTCAACACAATAAAAAAGTCAGGAATGACTTCAATGACGTCAAAAATGAAAATATAAACGTACAAAGGTCAAACACTATCTCCAAAACGACTGTAAAAATATTAACAAGGTCAAAAATTGCCGTCAAAAAGATAGGAACGTCAAAATGACATAACCATCATGACAAAGACCTTAAAAACGAGAGGAGAGACGGCAAAAAATAAAATTGTAATCGTTAAAAGGTGAAATACTGTAGCCAACACAGAGTATGTCAAAAAATAAAATATAAACATTAAATGATCAAACATTGTCTACAAAACATTGAAAACGAATTAAGAAACGTGTAAAAGATCAAAAACAAAAATTTAAAATGTCAATAAATAAAAAGTTGTCGCCAAAACATTATGAACGTCAAAATGAAATGATAAACGTAAAAGGGCATAAATCGTTACCAAAACATTAAAAAACGACTGGATGGACGTCAAAAAATTAAATTATAAACGTTAAAAGGTCAAAAATATAATTTTAAACTTTAAAAGGTCAAATATTGTAGTCAACACCTTAACAAAAACCGTACTTTAAGGACGCCAAAAATAAAATATAAATTTTAAAAGATGAAACATTGTAAAAACTGTAGATTGTAGAAACGTTAACAAGGTCAAAATTTAACATTTTAAACGTCTAAAGGTCAAAAATTGACGCCAAAATGTTAAAAATATCACGATAAACGTTGTAAAGTTCAAAAAATTATATGATAAATGTTAAAAGGTTAAAGATTGTCGTCAAAACAGTAAATCTTTATAGAGTTATATAGAGTTACAAACGTAAAACGCATAAAGAAACGTTAGAAATCGTTAAAAAAGACTAGATGAAGGTCAAAAAAGGTCGTTAAAACAATATCAACGTCAGAATGTACATGAAACATGCTAGAAATGAAAATATAAACGTTAAAAAGTCAAAAAATTCCTCTAAAACCTTCAAAACGATCGGAAAAAGTTAACATCACAAAAATTAAATTGTAAACGTTAAAATTCAAAAAATTGTTGCCAAAACGATAAAAAAAACAAAAATGGTTACTAAAACCTTTAAAATGACAGGTAGAAAGAACGCCATTACATCAAAAAAATATATACTTACCGAAATAATAGCGTATTAAATTTTGTCCAAACAAAGGGACTATAAATACTTAAAAAATTGAACATACCGATTGTAGAATTCGTCCTTGAGCGCGATCAGCTTGCGCATGAATCTCAGCGCGCACAGCACCAAGAATTTGTGTCTGGACTTCATCAGGACGAGGATACGACGCAGCAAGTCCTTGTTCAATATGCAATTCTTTATATGGTACGTGTGATGTTCGACGCAGAACGAGAGCAGCTCCAGAATGAGCCCCAAGAGCTGGACGCTCCTGTAGTCCTCCTTCTGCGGCTTATCATGCACAGTATTCTCCAGCAGCGGCGCTTCAATTTAATAAACGAAAAATGAGGTATTGTATATGGAAATTTTAATTTATTTAGTTTTTAACACATTACCAATAGAACTTTTATTTCTTGGCAATCAGCCAATATTAAATATTATACAGCTATTAATGAAAAGACAAAAAAAATGGCAATATGCGTTTCACTGTTAACCATCTTCGGTGCATTATTTAAAAAAAATCAGGAACCACCATATATGTGTATTTTTTATTTCAATCAACACTCTTCGTATATAATTAAAATGTACTCACATTTTAAGGCATTCTGTAAAATAATTCATCACTAAGTGTATTTAATACCATCAATTTAATAATTAAAATATATTCGAATTTAGGGACATTCTATATAATAATCTTTATAAAATACCGTTATTTCAAAAAATACGATCTAAACTTTAGTATCTTAAATATCCTTTACTTAAAAAATTAAAATTTGTGTTAAATGGATTACATGCTGTATACTAATCCAATAAGCATTGGTAAATTGAATCATCTCGTTTCAAAAAATTAAATAGGAGTCAATTTTAGGACATCATGTATAACAATACTCCGTATATTAAATACCCTGTATTAATAAATATGTACGCGAATTTCACAACATCCTGTATAACAATCTTTCACTCAATTTAATTAAAAAAATTAAATTTTAGGACAACCTGTATAAACAATTAATCTATCCATACCTTTAGTTAAGAAAAATTAAATATATTCGAATTTTGGGACATGCTGTATAATAATCAAGATAAAATACCGTTATTTGAAAAAATAAAATCCTAACTAAAATCGGGACATCTTGTATATCTATACTCCATATCTTAAATATCATTTACTTAAAAAATAAAAAGTTGCATCAATTGGAGGACGTCCTGTATACTAATCTAATAACTCTCTGTACAATGAACCATTTCATTTCAAAAACTTAAATATAAGTTAATTTTTGAACATCCTGCATAAAAATTTTCCCTACATTAAAATACTTTTTTAAAAAGGGGATTTTGAATTTTACAACATCCCGTACAACAATATTTCACTCAATTTTAGGACATTTTGTATAACAATCTAGCAGTCCATATATTAAATACCTTTAGTTCAGAAAAATTAAATATAATCGAATTTTGGGACATGCTGTATAATAATCTTGATAAAATAACGTTATTTCAAAAAATAAAATCTAAACGTAATTCGGGACATCCTGTATAACTATACTACGTATCTTAAAAACTTTTTACTTAAATAAAAAGTTGAATCAATTAAGGACGTCCTTTATACTAATCTAATAATTCTCTGTATATTGAACCATCCCATTTCAAAAAATTTAATATAAGTTAATTTTAGGACATCCTGAATAACAATGTAATATCCTTTGTTAAAAAAATGGATCGCGAATTTTATAACATCCTGTATAATAATAGTTCACTGTTTATTTTAGGATTTTAGTATAACAATCTAGCAGTCCATATATTAAAAACCTTTAGTTCAGAAAAATTATATAAAATCAAATTTTGGGACAAGCTGTATAATAATCGGATAAAATAACGTTATTTAAAAAAATAAGATCTAAATGAAATTCGGGACATCTTGTATACTTAACTATATTGCGTATCTTAAAAACTTTTTACTTAAATAAAAAGTTGCATCAATTGAGGACGTCCTTTATACTAATGTAATAACTCTCTGTATATTGAACCATCCCATTTCAAAAAATTAAATATATGTTAATTTTAGGACATCCTGTACAACAATCTTTCACTCGATTTATTTGAAATTTCGTTGAATTAAAATTACGCGAAATTTAGGACATCCTGTATAAACAATCTAGAAGTTCATTCATTAAATACCCTTAGTTCAAAAAAATTAAATATAATCGAATTTTGGGACATGCTGTATAATAATCTAGATAAAATATCGTTATTTCAAAAAATAAAATCTAGACTAAATTCGGGACATCTTGTATAACGATAATATCTTAAATATCCTTTACTTAAAAAATAAAAAGTTCTATCAATTGGAGGACGTCCTGTATACTAATCTAATAACTTTCTGTATAATGAACCATTCCATTTCAAAAACTTATAATTTTAGGATATCCTGTATAACAATCTAGCATATATTTAATACCTTTAGTTCAGAAAAATTATATAAAATCGAATTTTGGGACATGCTGTATAATAATCTGGATAAAATAACGTTATTTCAAAAAATAAAATCTAAACGAAATTCTGGACATTTGTATAACTATACTGTGTATCTTAAAAACGTTTTACTAAAATAAAAAGTTGCATCAATTGGAGGACGTCGTGTATACCAATCTAAAAACTCTTTGTATATTGAATAATTCCATTACAAAAATTTAAATAAAAATTAATTTTAGGTCGTCCTGTATAACAATACTCCGATAAATAAAAAAAATTCTTTCGAATTTTACAACATCCTGTACAACAATCTTTCACTCAAATTATTTTAAATACCCTTAAATTAAATAACAAAATTACGTAAATTTTAGGACATCCTGTATAATAATCTAGCAGTCAATATATTAAATACCCTTAGATCAGAACAATTCCATAAAATCGAATTTTGGGACATGCTGTGTATATTAATCCAGATAAAATTAAATTTAAAAAATAAAATCTAAACGAAATTCGGGAAATCCTGTATAACTATATTCTGTATTTTAAATACCGTTAACTTAAAAGATAAAAAGTTGTATCAATTGGAGGACGTCCTGTATATTAATCTAAAAACTCTTTGAATATTGAACCATCCCATTCTAAAAAATTATAAAAAGACAATTTTAGGACATCCTGCATAAAAATACTGTATATATTAAAAAATATTCTTTCGAATTTTACAATATCCTGTACAACAATATTTCATTCAATTTATCTTGAATACCCTTAAATTAAATAATAAAATTACGTACATTTTAGGACATCCTGTATAACAATCTAGCAAATACCCTTAGTTCCGAAAAATTCCATAAAATCGAATTTTGGGACATGCTGTGTATAATAATCCAGATAAAATAAAATTAAAAAAATAAAATCTTAACGAAATTCGGGACATCTTGTATCTAATAACTCTTTGAATATTGAACCATCCCATTTTTAAAAAAAATATATATAAAAAGTCAATTTTAGGATATCCTGTATAAAAATACTCCGTATATTAAATACCCTTTGTTCAGAAAAATATCTAATTTTAGGACAATCTTTATTAAATACTGATATTTAAAAAAAAATCTAAATGAGATTTAGGACATTTTGTATAAAACCATATTTCCTATCTTAAATACTTTTAATTAAAAAATAAAAAAAAATGCATCAATTGGAGGACATCCTGTATAGTAATCTAAAACACTGTATATTGAATAAGCTCTTTACAAAAAAATAAATAAAGAAGTCAATTTTAGGACATCCTTTATAACATACCATATATTAAAAAATACCCTTTGTTCAAAAAATAGAATGCTAATTTAAAACATTAAACACTTAGTTTATATTAAAAATCCTTAGTTTTAACTGGACATCCTGTATACCAATATTTCACTCGATTTATTTGAACTACCCTTAAATTAAAAGTACGCGAATTTAGGACATACTGTATAAACAATCTAAAAGTTTTCATACATTAAATACCCTTAGTTCAGAAAAATTAAATATAATCGAATTTTGGGACATGCTATATAATAATCTAATAACTCTCGGTATAATGAACCATTCCATTTCAAAAACTTATAATTTTAGGACATCCTGTATAACAATCTAGCATATATTTAATACCTTTAGTTCAGAAAAATTATATAAAATCGAATTTTGGGACATGCTGTATAATAATCTGGTTAAAATAACGTTATTTCAAAAAATAAAATCTAAATGAAATTCGGGACATCTTGCATAACTCCGTATTTTATATTCCCTTTATTTAAGAAATTAAAAGTTTTATAAGTCAAACACTGTCTATTGAACAACCACAACCACAAAAATATATGGAAGTAAATTTTAAATTAAATCCCCTATGTAAAAAAATAATTTTACATTTACTCTGTTATTTTAAATATCTTTAAATTAAAAAATAAATAAAATGAACGAGAACATTAGGACATCATGTATAACAATCCACATAATAAATGAAAGCTTGTTAAAAAAATCAATCGTATTCAAAATTGAGACATCCTGTAAAACATTTTAACGCACTAGAAAACAAGAAATAGTGAATAAAATTTAAAAAATAAATGTTTTATTTTTTATTTGTTTTAATTAAAATGATTAAACTTATATCTCACGCATATTGAGTATAAAGCAAAGTAAACAAATACGCTGCCTCAACTTTGTCTAGTATTTTATTTATTATTTAGTAGAAAATTTTATAACCAATTTTTAAAAAACCGTATAATTTTGAATTATTTCAAAATTGTTTACCTGGAAAAAATAATTACGAATCTCAAGTTCTAAGCAATAATTACCAAAATAAAAAGTACTATTTATACATTGCAAAAACCAGTTTATTTTCATAATTAATTGATTAATGGCGGTCTGAAAACATCATCATTAATTACCAATTAACGCTTTAAAAATAATTTAAATATAATTGAAAACATAATTTAACAAAAATACGAAAAACAACTTTTAAAACAAAGTAACTTCTTGATTTTCTTTAAACGCTTGTATATCTTTTAATATCTCAAAATTGAACCAAAAAATGTCTCAAAGTGGTAACACATTAAACAAAAAATAAATATGTCCCATACATTTGGACAAAAAGGTTTATTCAAAAGCAGATATACATAAAATTCGACTTACCTATCAAGATATGGACGCTGTGCTTGTAGAAAAAATTGAGAAAATCCGTTTTTTCGGATTTATTGACGGACGCCAACATGTTTTCCGGGTCCAATAATATTCTTAGTACGCCCATGAGCTGTACAGCACCACCCAGTTCGGCATCGGTATCACAAATCATTTGTTCAATAATTATGTTGAGGAGCATCTGGTCCTTAAAAAATTAATTCAAATTAAAAATTAAAATACGTTTAGAGAATAATGTAAATGATTCGTTTTTATATTGTAAGAAAAACTCGAGGAAAAACTTCAAATTTTACGTTACACAACAAATTGTTTTGATATTTACACCTTATAAAAAACTGTTAAGATCACAACTCATTATCTTAATTGGTATTCTATTTAAAGTTGTATTTTCAAAAATTGACATGGTAATCTTTAAAAAATCACCTATTTAGAACTGCTTGTAAAAATAAATGAAACACCTGTAGAATTATTATGTTGATGGTCTAACTTGGTAGGTACCTTTACTGGTATTCTAATTATAGGGTGGCAAAGTTCAAAGTTACTTTTGAAATTTGACATGGTAGGCACTAAATCATTAAAGATTTGTCAGTTTATTTAATGGTCACAAATATTTTTAAAATTTGTTAAATTTATGGGTATGGTAGCTGTAGAACAATTATCTTGAAAAATGCAACTAATATATTTACTGATATCTTTATTACAGGATGACTTTAAAAGTTATATTTTTAGCAAGTTAAAATGGTAATCTTTAAGGACTCCACTTAAAAATTGCATAATTTTGTAAAAATAAATTAAATACCTGTGGAATTATTATGTTTAAGATCACAACTCAATATCTTAACTGGTATTTTAATTAAAGTTGCATTTTTAGAAATTGAATGGTAATCTTTAAAAATGTAGAAAATATAAAAAAAATTGAAATAAGTACTTGTATAATTATTATGTTAAAGACCCTAACTTAGGATATTTGCTGGTATTCTAATTACAAAGTGACAAAGTTGAAAAGTAAATTTTTTGAAATTTGACATGGTAATCTTGAAAATATCTTTAGTTTAATGGTTATTAAAGATCTTTCACATTCATTATAAGTTTATAAAGCAGTTATAGAAATATTACCTTGAATACTGCAACACAATAAATATATTTACTGATAGTCTAATTAGGTACATTTTTAGAAATTTAAAATGGTAATCTTTAAAAATTTTCCTGTTCAGATGCCTACTACTTATAAAAAATACACATAATTTGGTAAAAATAAATGAAACTCCTGTAGAATTATTATGTTGTTGACCATAACTCAGTATCTTAACTGGCATTTAAAGTTGCATTTTTGGGAATTGACTTAGTAATTTTTAAAAATTCGTCTGTTTAGAACCACTTTCAAAAAATATTCAAAATTTTGTAAAATGGTATACCTGTAGAATTATGTTGAAGAATTATAAGGTTAATTAAGTTAGAAGTTACAATTTTTAGAAATTTTAAATGGTAATCTTTAGGAATTTATCACTCATCAGTTTAGATACTACCTACTTATAAAAAAATGTACAAAATTTGGTAAAAATAAATTAAATAACTGTAGAATTATTATATTAAAGACCAAAACTAAGTATCTTAACTGGTATTTTATTTAAAGTTGCATTTTCAGAAATTGACATGGTAATCTCTGTTTAGATACCTACTACTTATAAAAAATATACAAAATTTAGTAAAAATAAATAACAGGGCTGCAGAATTATTATGCTGATGACAACAATTTAGTATCTTAAATAGTATTCTATTTAAAGTGGCATTTTTAGAAATTGTCATGGTAATCTTTAAAAATTCATCTGTGAAAACCAACCACTTTTAAAAATATTCAAAATTTGGTAAACATAAATGGAATACGACCAAAACTCAGTATCTCAACTGGTAATCTATTTAAAGTTGCATTTTCAGAAATGGACATGGTAATCTTTAAAAGTTTGCATGTTTAGAACTGCTTACAAAAAAATATCCAAAATTTGGTAGAAATAAATGGAATACATGTGGAATTATTATGTTGATGACTTAACTCAATATCTTCACTGATATTCTAATTACAAGACTACAGACAACATACTCACAAAGTGACATTTTACATGGCAATCTTTAAACAAACAGAAGTTTTTTAATATTTATAAAACTTTAAAAACAAAAATTTAACAATTGCAAGTAGCTGTAGATATATTATGTTGACAGAAAATTCGGTATTATGTAAATACTATTTTTTTAAATAACAGGGTGATAAGATATGTAATTTTTACTTTAATAATTTTGTGGGAAAATGAGAGTGACTTACTAGTAAGTTAGCTTTTATTTAAATTACTGATATTTTGCTCATATACTTAATTATGGGTCAAGAGATAATTTCATTTCTAGAAAACATATATTTTTTTAAATGTATGATTGCTCCTTGTATTAATATTAGCTATTCATTTTATAACGAATTGTTTTGATTCTAATCACTTTAAAATGAGTAATTCCCATGTTTAATATAAAAAACGGAAAATTACGTAATTATTATTGAGTATTTATGTTTATAAAAAAAGTCTACTAAATTAGCCAGTGGTTTTATGATAAAATAATGCATTATAGGTACCTAGAGATAAAAATTATCACTAGTAAACAAATTTGTAAGATAAAGGCATCTTTTAGGTAAATAAATAATCCCTCCATTATTTATCTCAATACCTAATAATAATAAAGCTAAGATTACTTGTTTTAGAATCAAGAATCAAGTAATTTACAAATAATATAATCTATAAATATTCATGAATAATTACAGTACCTTTATGTCAAAATTTCAAAGACACATTTTAAATTATTATTAAGCAAACCGAAATGACCAAACAATAAATTTTTATCTAATAAAACATTACAATAATTATTAAATACTTAATAACTAAATTTCATTCACAATATCCATCCTTACATATTTATAATTATTATTCTGAAGAATCTATTTATTCATGACATAAATAAGATATCCAAATCGATACTATTAAATAATAACATTACAATTGAAAATTAACATAAAGATGCTTATCCAAGTTTTAAAATTAGAACAATTTAAATGTCTGATAAAGTTGGATATTTATATAAATTCAATGCAATAGTTAAAAAATAATTAGTAACGTAAATAAAATCAAAACAAACTCATAGATAGGAAGCTAATTTAAATTATTTGATAAACATTTGACTATTTAATTAACGAATAATTTTACCTGATTTATATATACGAGGGTCAGTCTTTAAGTTTGAGAAATATAATAAATCTAAAAGAAGATTTTGTGAAAAAAATACATATAAATTAGGTAGTTTCTTTTTTTTTAATAAACGGAGGAAGCATTTTTTAGAGATTTTCAAGAAGAAGTTTCTTCAGGAGTGTGCCACAGAGCTCGCATCTGAGCCTCTTTATTAGTTGTTATTGAGCAGAAGGAAAGTGGGACCATTTTGCTGTTAAGGTTTCTTTATTTGGGCCAAATGAAGAAAAATGGTTGGAAAAAGTACTTAAGTAAATGAAAATGAAAAAAAAAAGTGTAAATTACTTATAGGATGATTCTAAAACAAGTAAACAAAGCTTTATTATTATTATTATTATTATTATTATTATTATTATTAGGTATTGTTATTGTGATAAATAATGGAGGGACTATTTATTTGCCTAAAAGATGATGCCTTTATCTTACAAACTTGTTTACTAGTGTTATTTTTTAGCTCTAGGTAGCTATAATGCATTATTTTATCACAAAACCACTCGCTAATTTAGTATTCTTTTAATAAACATAAATACTCAATAATAATTATGTAATTTTCCGTTTTTTATATTAAACATGGGAATTACTCATTTTAAAGTGATTAGAATCAAAACAATTCGTTATAAAATGAATAGGTAATATTAATACAAGGAGCAATCATAAATTTAAAAAAAATATATATGTTTTTCCTGAAATGAAATAATCTCTGGACCCATAATTAAATATATGAGCAAAATATCAGTAATTTAAATAAAAGCTTACTTACTAGTAAGTCACTCTCATTTGCCCACATAATTATTAAAGTAAAAATTACATATTTTATCACCCTGTTATTTTAAAAATAGTATTTACATAATACCGAATTTTCTGTCAACATAATATATCTATAGCTACTTGCAATTGTTAAATTTTTGTCTTTAAAGTTTTATAACTATTATTAAACTTGTGTTTGTTTAAAGATTACCATGTAAAATGTAACTTTGTGAGTATGTTGAAAACCAGTAGCTGGTTTTTAATCTTAAAAACGAATTTTGAAGATCTTTAATAACTGTTTAATTGATGATTTTTTTAAAGATTTACCATGTCAAATTTTTTAATTATATTTTTTGATTTTAAACAAGAAGTTCTAAATAGGAGTCTTTAAAGATTACCATGTAAAATTTTTAAAAATGTATCTTTTAACTTAAGTCACCCTGTAATTAGGATACCAATGATGATATTTACTGTGTTGTACCAAATTTGGAATATTTTTAAAAGTGGTTGGTTTTAAACAGACGTATTTTTAAAGATTACCATGTCAATTTCTAAAAATGCAACTGTAAATAGAATACTAGTTAAGATATTGAATTGTGGTCATCAGCATAATAATTCTACAGCCTGTTCATTTATTTTTACCAAATTTTGTATATTTTTTATAAGTAGTAAGCATCTGAAGAGGAAACTCTTTAAAGAGTACCATGTCAATTTCTGAAAATGCAACTTTAAATAGAATACCAGTTAAGATACTGAGTTTTGGTTGTATTCCATTTATGTTTACCAAATTTTGAATATTTTTAAAAGTGGTTGGTTCTAAACAGTTGAATTTTTAAAGATTATCATTTCAATTTCTAAAATGCAACTGTAAATAGAATACTAGTTAAGATACTGAATTGTGGTCATCAGCATAATAATTCTACAGCCTTTTCATTTATTTTTACCAAATTTTGTATATTTTTTATAAGTAGTAAGTATCTGAAGAGGAAAATCTTTAAAGATTACCATGTCAATTTCTAAAAATGCAACTTTAAATAGAATACCAGTTAAGATACTGAGTTTTGGGTAGTATTCCATTTATGTTTACCAAAATTTGAATATTTTTAAAAGTGGTTGGTTCTAAACAGTTGAATTTTTAAAGATTACCATGGTCAATTTCTAAAAATGCAACTGTAAATAGAATACTAGTTAAGATACTCAGTTTTGGGTAGTATTCCATTTATGTTTACCAAATTTAGAAACATTTTTAAAAGTGGTTGGTTCTAAACAGACAAATTTTTAAAGATTAACCATGTCAATTTCCAAAAATGCAACTTTAAATAGAATACTGGTTAAGATACTGAATTGTGGTCATCAGTATAATAATTCTACAGCCGTTTCATTTATTTTTAACAAATTTTGTATATTTTTTTATAAGTAGTAGGTATCTGAACAGGGAAATCTTTAAAGATTACCATGTCAATTTCTGAAAATGCAACTTTAAATAAAATACCAATTAAGATATTTAGTTTTGGTCTTTAATATAATAATTCTACAGGCATTTCATTTATTTTTATCAAATTTTGTACATTTTTTACAAGTAGGTAGTATCTAAACTGATGAGTGATGAATTCATAAAAATTACCATTTAAAATGACTAAAAATGTAACTTTTAACTTAAGTAACCTTATAATTAGAATATACTAAATATATTGAGTTAAGTCTTCAATGTAATAATTCTAGAGGTATTCCATTTTACAAAATTTTGAATATTTTTTAAAAGTGGTTCTAAACAAGACGAATTTTTAAAGATTACCAAGTCAATTCCCAAAAATGCAACTTTAAATACTAGTTAAGATACTGAGTTGTGGTCATCAACATAATAATTCTACAGGCGTTTCATTCAGTTTTTCCAAATTATGTGTATTTTTTATAAGTAGTATGTATCTGAACAGGGAAATCTTTAAAAATGTAATTAGTATATCAGTGAATATATTTAGTGTGTGTGCAGTATTCAAGATAATATTTCTATAACTCCTTTATAAACTTATAATGAATTTGAAAGATCTTTAATGACCATTTTTGATGAATTTTTCAAGATTACCATGTCAAATTTCTAAAAATGTAATTTTCAACTTTGTCACTTTGTAATTAGAATACCAGCAAATATACTAAGTCTTCAACATAATTCTACAGGTGCTCCATTTATTTATTTATTCCAATTTTTTATATTTTTTACATGTGTAAAGATTACCATGTCAATTTCTAAAAATGCAACTTTAATTAAAATACCAGTTAAGATATTGTGTTGTGATCTTCAACATAATAATTAAGGGGAGTTGTTAAAGATTACCATTTTAACTTTCTAAAAATGTAACTTTTCAAGTCATCAGTGAATATATTAGTTGTATTCTTCAAGATAATATTTCTACAGCTACCATACCTATAAACTTAACAAATTTTAAAAATCTTTGTAACCATTAAATAAACTGACTAATCTTTAATAATTAAGTGTCTACCATGTCAAATTTCTAAAGTAACTTTCAACTTTGTCATCCTATAATTAGAATACCAGTAAAGATACCAAGTCAGATCTTCAACATAATAATTCTACAGGTGTTCCATATATTTTTACCATTTTTTTTTATTTTTACAAGCAGTACTAAACAGGTGAATTTTTGAAGATTACCATGTTAATTTTGAAAATGCAACTTTAAATAGAATACCAGTCAAGATACTGAGTTGTGATCTTTAATATAATAACTGTACATGTGTTTCATTTATTTTTACCAAATTTTGTATATTTTTTATAAATCTATCTCAACAGGAGCATATTTAAAGATTACCATTTCAAATTTCTAAAATTAACTTAAGTCCCCTCCCCTGTAAATAGGATGTCATCGAATACATTTACTGCATTGCAGTCTTTAAATATTTCTAGAGCTGCTATACAAACTTATGGTAATTTTAAAAGTTCTTTACAACTATTAAGTAAATTGATGAATTTTTCAAGAGTTCCATGTAAAATTAAAAAAAAAATCATTTAACTTTCTCACCCTGTAATTAGAAAACCAATAGAGATACTGAGTTTAGAAATTTAACATAATAATTCTACTACAGGTGTTCCATTTATTTTTACCAAATTTTGAATGTGATGCTAATTTTTAAAGATTACCATGTCAATTTCGAAAAGTGTAATTTTAATTAAAATACCAATTAAGGTAATGAGTTGTGGTCTTCGACATAATAATACTAAGTATAGGTATTTTATTTATTTTTATAGGTATTTTAAATTTTGAATATTTTTTAAACAGGCTGAATTTGAAAGATTACAATGTCAATTTCTAAAAATGCAACTATAATTAAAATATCAATAAAGATACTTAGATGTGGTCTTCAACATAATAATTCTACAGGTGGTTCATTTATTATTAATAAATTTTGTAAATTTTGTACAGGAGAATCTTTAAAGATTACTTACCATTTCAAATTTCTAAAATAAAACTTTATAACTTAAGTCATCCTGTCATTAGGATTATTGTAACTTAAATGAATATATTTACACTGTTGCAATCTTCAAGATATATCTGCAGCTGCAATTTTAAATTTAACATCTTTAAAAGTTATTTATAATTATTAATTAAATTGATGGATTTTTAAAGATTACCATGTCAAATTTCTAAAAATGTAACTTTATCATCTTGTAATTAAAATATGAATAAAGATACTGAGTTGTGGTCTTCAATATAATAATTTTACAGGTGTTTCATTTATGTTTACCAAATTTTGAAAATTCTAAACAGGGAATTTTTGAAAGTATAACTTTTAACTCAATCACCCTGTAATTGGAATATCAGTAAAGATACTGAATTGTGGTCTTCAACATAATATTTTTAGATGTTTTATACCTATTATTATATTTTTATCTTTAATAACTAGTTTTCAAAATGGCGTCTTTTTATAAAGAATCTCTAAAAGTCTACCTTGTAACTATAATTTAAATGCAATTCAATTATACCAATCAGTGAAATGCATTCAGACAAGCATTGTAGAGATTCCCATTCAAAAATTCACAATATCATAGTAATTTTAAATTCAAACAACATAAAATCTGAAATATTTCCATAGGTACAAAAGTTTTGAATTATATGAAAATAAAACACTTACCTCTTCAGTATTACTGGCCTGTTGCAGAGTATACTCCCTCACCACAGATGGAGAAAATTCTACAATGTACGTAAGTATGTCAATAGAGGCAGTCTTGGTCTTGAGGTCATCCATAGCAAGGGTGATTTCCAATGCAGGTAATATACCGAGAGACGTCAGAGTCTTGTAGAACGACTCCTTGGCTTGGGGCTGCAGATTCTGCGAATAATTGCAGAATTCTTTTAAGAACAACACCAAATCCCTTCTCTTAGAGTCAGGAGTGTGCAAGTCTGTCAACATTGAGAAAAGTTCAGTGAGGAACTTCTCGTCCTCCTGCACCAAAGACACTATCTCCACCTTGTTGAAGAATATAAAACTACTTAAAGTAGACAACATGTTTTCTTCAAAAACTGATGGTGTTGGTAGAACAACATCCTGTATGTATTGTACTCGAAATGTTTGATGGATTTTAGAAAGTAACTCCACATTTTTTATGGGGATGGCTTCCCTGAAAGTAGCATGCTGTCTAAGGTAATCCCTGTGCCTTTTAGGAGAGGGAGATGATGGGTCATACTCCAAGCATCCAACCACATCAAATATTAATTCATCACTAAACATCACATCGAACAGCACATTTTTGTTCAGTAAAAATATATTCTTGAATATGTCATACAAGTGGTGCAGTCCTTCCATGCTTTCCAAGTCTTCACACATGTGAAATAGATTCACCAGTTTCCTAATGTACCCCTCACTTTCGATGGCAGCTGCTAATTTCTCTTTCCTCATAGGTGAACTTAAACAGTTGCTTATTAATTCACTAATGTCTTCTAATCTACTGAGTTCGCAGCTGGGTAACTCGATGGGTGGTGCTGAATCTGACATGTCATCGAATCTCTCATCCTCAGATTCTTCGACGATGTCCTGGGTGATTTCAACCGAAGGGTCTTTGCCCTGCACTTGACAGATCTTCTCCCAGATCTCATCACAACCTAGTTTCTCTTGAAAGCTCAAAGCCAAGTCGAAATTGTCACCTTCTGACCACACTATTAGAGTGTCCTGTTGCTTTTGGTAAGCTGTGTCCGGCTGGATTTTCGACTCTAGTAATAAAGAACCGTCACTTTCTGCACGCACTAATAATGAAATACCTTTTAACCGATCTACATAAGACGAGGAAACGTGCCCTGTGCCCCTGTCGTCCCATTGTCTATCTGCATTCAGCGCATACAACTTTACCCTTCTTCTTGTATCAGTCATGATTGGAATTTTTCTAATCCTTTACACTACACTGGCAAATTTCCCACATTCCGTCTGCAAAGAAAAATACAAAAATTGACATAATGCAATCATAAACATACATTTATGTCAGATGATTAAGTCAATAAACAAACAAATATATCAACTTTTCAATACCCAACCTAGTCGGTAAGTAAACTACAAACCTGGATGTCCAACAATTCGATAATTACTCTCAGCAATTTCTAATTTCTTACGGAAGATTCGACTAATATAAACCTACGAAAGCAAACACGCTCAACTTCTTTGAACAATAAAATGCAATTAATTAGAATTTATCACGTGTCAGCACAAGCAAAAAATTTGAATATTTTCATATTACACTTTATCTACTCTAACAATTATCTCATTAGCACGTCATTCCAATTTCTTTTTGTAAACGGACACAACACTAACTTTCGCCATATTGAATTCACAACAACGCTCAAAGGGGGCAGGGGGACGTGGTTCGCAAGGGCAAACGTAAAGCTCGTGCGCATGGCGCACCGCGAAATTCAATTGCAATTTTTTTTTATTCTTAAATTTATCCTTAACAATACTATATCAATTGAAGATATCCATAATACTTTATTAATTATACTTTAATACATCTAAAAATACATTTTTACAAGTTTTACATAAAAATCCTCAGTTTCGTTTCGTATATATCTATTTCTCTCGCACTACCTGTCTACACGTTTATCTATTTCACCGTTCATCGAAATTTTAGTAAAAAGTTCGTTTAAAAATATTGTTAATAATTTTATAAAGTATCGTTTATTTAAAACAACTTTATGCAACAATTAAATTAGCTTTAATTTAGAAATTTTGATAAAAAGAGGAAAATCTGAAAAAATGACTAACAGGAGGAATTCCACATTCATCGAGCTTCGCATGCGCAATAATAATCTGTCATATATACGAGGGATGTTCAAAATAAATTGTATTGCTGTTGCGTTCCATTTGCTAAAAATAAATAGTGAGATACTAAAAGAGCTGCTGTTAATTAAAATTGAATGATCATTTTAGTAATAATAAAAATAAGTACTGTGTTTACTATTTGAGTATAAATAAAAATATGTTTTTCCCTCTAATTTTGACATATATGACATTTTTTGTAATCACAAGTGTCAAAATGATTTACTTTATGTAACCAGTTGCATAAAGTTGAACATTGTGTAACTGGTTGCAAAAAAATCATTGTCACCAGTTGGGAAAAGAAAACAATTAAAAATGAACCTTTTTGGTTTTAAAAATAATATATACATGGTTTTTGAAAGTTTATAGCGAAGAAAAAAAATTACTGTATAAAAATAGATATTTTCAATGAACTTAAAATTTAGTAATTTTAATTCTGATTCCGTTGACATTTTAAACAATCTTGAATAGTCTTGATTCAATCTAAAAATGCACAAAATAATCTATTTTTGTATCTATAACTTACAGAGGGTGGGTTATCTCACACGGCACTTAGCCCTCACTATGCCCATTGTGCATCCTCCTAATTTGATAGACAACGTTGCCAAGAGGTACTTTTCTTATATCTGCCGGTGTTAGCCAATACTCGCCGAACTCAAATCTTATAATAAATGACAGAGTAGGACAATCGTTGAGGATATGCTCAATGATTTCATCTTCTTGTTCGCACCCCCTGCAGAGTGCGGGTTCCAACAATCCCATGCTATGGAATTGCTTCTGAACTTGTAAATGATAGAATGCCTGTGATCAGTTCCAGATTCTGTCCAGTCATAGTCAAGTGTATTTGTTTGTTGTGGTGTTATGGAGATAACTTAAAATCTTCCTGAAAATGCTGCAATTTCTTGTTTTATCCAATCTTTTCGGGACTTTTACAAGGGAATGTTCTTTAATTAGATTTGTCACTACATTGTCAGTCCAATAGAAGGGTCAAATCTAAACATTATTTGGTTGACTACATTCTTGGATAGTGAATCAGCAACTTTTCGATGTGGCGTGACCTTTGATCCATCTTAAAATGACCACATTGTTGATGGATACTTTGGCCAAAGCTTTCTGACCTTCTAGTACTAACCCTGAGTAAATTCGTAGTATGTTCAGGTTCAGAAGTGCTTGTTTGCTATCTGTATATATGAACATGTTCCTTCCAGTGATATTGTTTCTGCTAACTTCTTTTGCTGCTATGAGAATCCCAGTGATTTTGGTTTGAACTACACTGCATGGTAACATTTTATGTTTAGGTCTAAGGATCTGGAGTAATTTCCACATTATGGACCTTGTTTTGTTTTAGAACAATCGGTGTAGATATGAATCATAAATATTTTAAAAGTATCTATTAGACTGATATATGAAGTTAGCTATTAAGATTTCAGAAGTATCTGACATTTACCTACTTATTATTTTTAAGACTTTCCTTGAATACCGAATAATAACATGACTTTGTTGTAGAGATAACCAAAATGTCAATATCTATGTGATGTGTAATTTAAATTTTAACAGTTTCAACTATCCCGCGACAAGTATGTGAGAATAATTATGATTTTCTATTTCTAAATTTATCTATGAACGTTATGCAACTAACAATGCGTTAAGTAAGTAATATATCGGTTGCATATTAAGGACCAATTCCACCGTTGTGTTGAACGAAGTTTAAAATGACATTTTTACATTAACAATGTCATTTTAATCTCCGTTTAACACAACGGTGGAATCGGCCCTTAGAGACAGTTTAATTCAAATTCTTCTAGTGACCAAAAACAAATATTTAATTAATATTTTCTTTTAAAAATATTTGAAATAACTACTTGTCTTCATTTATCTATGATTCCACCGTTGTGTTAAATAAAGTTTAAATTACTAAACGAAGATTAAATTGACATTGTTTAATGAAAAATGTCATTTTAATCTTCGTTTAACACAACGGTGGAATCGGCCCTTAAATATTTCAAATTAAAAAAAAATGTAAATACAATTTTCTAAATATTCGTGTTTCTCTTTGATTGGAGGTAGTCCAAAAATCTTGTATGTATCCACATATCATATATATTATGTATCACGCAGTGAACTCTATTTAGCCCAGTTCACTGGTACGACGTTACATAAGTAGCTATTCGTTTAGAACATCCCTCGTATGTGTCAGTTAAAGTCAGAGTGAGAGGTGACAGTTGACAGTACAAGTGCAGTGACACTAATGACACATCATTGTCAAAAAATTATAGCATTGTTTATTTTTGTATAAAGTTCGTACAAAACGTGATAAATAACTAAAATACCTTCAAGCGAAATATTTTTAATTTAATGTTTTAATATCCCAAAACTTTCTACGTTTAGAAAACATGACGTCAGTGCAAGAACGCCTCCAACTCAAAAGGGAGCCCCTGGACAAGTGGTCAGTCCGTGAACAATTATGCCTAGCCTCGGCCGTTTGTCGCAGCGGGGACCAAAATTGGATGTCGGTTTCGAGAGCCCTAAAACCATTCGGCGAACCCAATCGTCCATCGGACTGGTTCCATCAAAAAAACTGCGCAGCACAGTATGGCATGCTTTTAGGTAATGTGGAAACGCCGAAGAGGAAAAATAAAAAAAGTAGCGTAGAATCTGGTATAGAGACACCAGCTGAAAGTATTTTGAAACGGCTGGTGACCGAAAGGCAGGCGGAATTGAAGAAATTGCTTGCCGAAGAAAGGGCCGAGTATCAAAAGTTGCAAAAGGATATGATACTGCTACAAGCAGGTAGAACATTGTTACTATATATATATATATATAATTAAAAAAAAAATGTCGTTTTTTTACAGCAAAGATCTATTACTTTATTTTGCATGCGAATTTATTTGTTTTAATGATTTTTTATGATCGAAAAAGTCTTTGTTTTGATTATACATTTATGTATTGACGGTTGACTACCCACGTAACGTATAGTTAAAATAAATGGCAAGAGGTGGCGCTTCATGTGACTAAATTCAGAATAGTCGGGTGGATTATATCAAAATATTAAACTAGATATCTATAGTTGAGGAAATTATTTACTTTCTTATTTTTGATTGACAAGTCTTAATTATTTAAGTCTTTTCTTTGTCCAAATATGTTTGGAAAACATATATTATCATTGTTTTGGGCAGAATACTTTTCTTTTTTATCAATCTGTGACCACAAGATTAATTGGTTTGACTGCTCTTGATTAGAAAAATTTGAATTATTTATTGTTTTGGCCTTTACTTGATGAAAATCCATATTATCTTAAATGAGTAAAACCAAATTGGTAGATTTCACAAAACTTTTATTTTAAAAAATAAAAATTAAGAAATTAAAAACACTACACATGACATGTTTCGAAGTACAACTTATTTTTCAAATGTGACTAATTTACAATTCGGTGTCCAATATATATGCAAAGTAATTTAACAAAACAAAGTAATTAAGAAAATACATCAATAACATACAAAATAAACTGACTATTTAAAGTAAATAAGGGTACTTAAGTAATTATGATATCAATCAGATAACAATAAGATAGTAATATTACCAGGATTATCTCACAGAAAACTAGGAAAGAGATTTAATAAAGGTGAGTTATTAATATCTAATTAATCATTTAGTAGGTTATCTGAATTTTTAAATCTATTTATTTCAAGTGTTTCTAAATGGTTTAGTTTAATGCCCTTATTTTCTATATGTAAAATTTCAAAGTTGTCTGTAAAAGAATGATTTTCAGCCAAAATATGATTTGAGTAAGTAGAATTATTTTTGTATAGCTATTATAATGTTCGGAATAGCGCTTTTTGAAGTATAGCCTGTTTGAGCAATATACAATTTTGGACAACTACCACAATTTAATTTATATACCCCCGATTTATTATTAGGATTAATTTTACCCTTATTGTTTTTAATATACTTTCCAAGCGTATTATTGGTTTTAAAAGCTAGGTTAATATTTTGGTTTTTTAAATATGATGATACCTTTTCACTAGGAGATCCTATATATGTAAGAGTCTTATATCTGCAATTTTGATCTTTAATTATAGGATAAACTTGTTGAATAGCATGTTTAAAAAGTTTTTTCTCTCTAAAATGTTGTCTACTAACTTTGAATTAAAATTATTGTTTACTGCGATTTGTTTAATGATATTTAATTCTTTTGTGAAATTCTCTTTGGTAAGGGGGATATTAACTAATCTATGGATCATACTGTTGTATGCTGCTAGCTTTTGTTTGTATGGATGAGATGAACTATTATTTATTGTAATATCAGTATGTGATGGCTTATGAAATATCCCAAAACTATGGCCTTTATTAATTTTAATAATATTTAAGTCTAAAAAATTAATTAAATTATCCTTCTCTGTTTCCATAGTAAATTTAATATTAGTGTGTATAGTATTGATAAAAACTAATAAAGAATTTAACTGTCTACTAGTACCAGTAAAAGCAGTCAGTATATCGTCAACATATCTATGCCAATAAAGACGATGTTTACTTAAATTATTGCTATGAATTTTATGTTCTATATTATCCATAAATATTTCTGCAAGCAACGGGCTTAATGGGTTCCCCATAGTAAGACCTTCATTTGCAGAGTAGATGTTATTTGGAAATTGAAAATAATTTTGTTTTAGGCAAATGTTTAACAAATTTAGGATTTCTTCTTTGATTATAATATTGACTTGATTACGATCTAATAAGTTTTCTACTAGCTTAGCTGTTTCTTTAAGAGGTATACTAGAAAAAGTTTGTTAAAATAAAAGTTTTGTAAAAATCTACCAAATTTGGTTTGACTCATTTAAGATAGAAAAACATGGATAATAAATTATATTTTGTGATATACCTATTTGTATTTTAATTATTTTGACTTCTGTTCAATACATATAAAAATGAAATGACACACCCTTAGACCACAAAATTTTAATGTTTGGAATAATTATTTGTTTCTACAGGTACTAAAAATATATAAAGAAACTAATTTTTCAATGAATTTCCCAAAATACCGTATTCTTCCTACTCATAAAATGTGTTAAGTCAATACACAAACTAACATAAAAGTGTAATTGAACATTACATAATGCATATTCTGAAAACCAGTTACAATTTATATTACGAAAATTGTCAATTGTATTATTTTTTCACCCATTGACAATATTTGATTCAAAACAAAAATAAACCCATCCTCTTTTCTCGTCAACCATCGAAAATAGGCAAAGTCACTGAAGACCAGCTCGACAAGTGGTGTCAAGAAATCGAAGAGGAAGAAACCCGTAAAGAGCAAGAAAGCCAAGCGCACGCACAATGGCTAAAAGAACGCGAATTCCGTAAACAAGAGATCGAAAAAGCGTGGCGACCCGCCAAGGCGGTGGCCGGTCAGAAACGCAAGAATTCCGACATCTTGGATAACCTGATGGATCAGGAGCACGTCGAGGAGATGATACAGCAACAGCAGCATCACCACCACCACCAACAGGTCTATCCGCAAACTCCGGAACCTGCGAAGCCTGCTTTGTCACCTTTGCTGACTAGTTTGCTGAAAAGTCCATCTCAAGCTCAAAATACGCCTATTTTGCATACGGCAATCACTAATAGACCTGCGCCTAATACCAACACCAACCCAATGATTGCTAGTTTGTTGAATTCTTCAACAAATGTTACGGTAATGACATATTATTTTTTTAGTGATGGGTCGCTCGGAAATGTCAACAGACATGTCTGATAGACATTGTCCAAAAAAATTTTTCAACATTGGAAAAATTTGTGAGCATACACAAAATTAAAATAGTTTTGCTGAATTTATTACAAGCAAAAGCAAAGTTACAAATGACTGGTGACTTTTATATGTTTGGTTTTATTATTGATGTTTGAGATATATTTGAGATTTTTAATTGTTTAATTTTCGTTTCTTATAAACATAAAAACGTAAAAAAATTAGTACAACTCCAAAGTTTTGAAGTATTTTACAAATCTGTGGCTTGGTTTTAGAAGAGCCAATCTCAGAATTATATAATTTAAGTAAAGAATGTTTAAAGTATTTATGAAAATTAAGTCAATTAACGATGTTATAAAGTGAATGTAGGTAATAACCTATAATATAACTACCTAATGTGTAACAATTTATTTACATTATTAATGTTTAACAAAACTTAAAATTTGTCAACACAAAAAAAATTATTATGAATTATCACGTACAAGCGGTACCCAATGTAAGTACTGCTTTTGTGAATTTGTATATTTATTTCTTGTCGTTTCTATGAATGTATTTTTTTAAATGTATATTTCAGTAAATAAACATTATTATTATAATAGCACTAATGCACATTTTTGTTGTATTAATTTTAAATGTTCTCATTCTTATTAAATATTGCATATTTACAAAATATTGACTTTGGCCCTTTTAGAACCAAATTTAAGAAAGTATTTGCCTAAAAAACGAAAATACTAGTATTTCAAAATTAAACTGTTTTTTCCCCTGGAATATCAATCAGTAGTTCCTGGGAAAAATAGGTTAAAATACTCAAAGAAAATGGAAAAAGGAAATGTCAAAAATTACTTTTCCGAAAAAGACTCATCACTAATTTTTTAACAACATGACAGGGATGCTTGAAAAGTTTTTTTTGATTCAAACTTGCACTATTTTTATTAAATATTTTGCCTCGTTCTCCCTCTGCTTTAAAAACGTTGATTTAGGCGTGTTTAAACCTATGGTTTAAACTGGTTTCTATTCTTGTAAAACCTGTTGGTTTTAAATTATCGATGATTTTTTGCACATCATTTTACAGGGTGTTTCAAAAACATGTTTCATCGCTCGTGGGACGATTCTTTATCCAAAAATAAGACAAATAGTTTTTTTCAACATTGGTCCGTAGATGCTTTGTTTCAAAAATACAGAGTATTATAATTTTTATTTTCGTTTTTTTTTTCAAAATATTTTCGAAATTGCTTTAACGATTAGTTTGGGTTTCTATTCCATTATTTATTTATTCAAGTTCATACAAGTTTATTAATAATTTAATTTCTGGAATATAAAACAGTAAGCGCCTAAGTGAGTGAACACTTATTGATGTACATAATGTCTCAATTTTTGATAAGTTTGTTGTTTTTTTTTAATTAGTTGCATTTTACTTTTTATTTTAAGGATATAGAAAAAACTTAGTGAAATATTGTTATACAGGATGTTGTAAAATAGCATACAATGAATTTTTATTGCAAAGAGTATTGTTATACCAGATGTCTTAAAATGTATGTCTCCATCTATTTTTTTTTTTAAATGAGCTTGTTTGACAGAGTGTTAGATTAATATAGAGAATGTCCTCCAATTGATTCTACTGTTTATTTTTTAAGTAAAGGGTATTCAAGATAGATTATTATACAAATGTCCTAAAATTCGAAGGATTTGTATGTATGTATTTAATGTTTTGAAATGGAATGGTTCTATATACAGACAGTTATTAGATTAGTATACAGGATGTACTCCACTTGATGCAATTTTTTATTTAATATAACAGCATGTCCTAAAATTCGATATATTTAATTTTTCTAAAGGGTATTTAATGCATGGGCTACTAGATTGTTATACAGGGATGTCCTAAAAGTGACTTGTATTTATTGTTTTGAAATGGAATGGTTCAATGTACAGAGAGTTATTAGATTAGTATACAGAATGTACTCCACTTGATGCAATTTTTTATTTAATGTAGTTTATTATACAGTATGTCCTAAAATTTGATATTTATTTAATTTTTCTGAAAGGTATTTAATGAATGGGCTACTAGATTATTATAAAGAATATCCTTAAATTCGATCATATTTAATTATTTGGACTAGGGGTAAACAGGATGTCCTAAAATTGACTTCTATTTAATTTTTTGAAATGGAATGGTTGTGATATAGAGAGTTATTAGATTAGTATACAGGATGTACTTCAATTCATCCAACTTTTTATTTTTTAAGATAGATTATTATACAGCATGTCCTAAAATTCGATTATATTTAATTTTTCTGAAATAAGGGTATTTAATATATGGATTGCTAAATTGTTATACAGGATGTCCCAAAATTGAGTTCTATTTAATTTTTTAAAATGGAATGGTTCAAGATACAGAGAGTTATTAAATTAGTATACAGGATGCACTCCAATTGATGCAACTCTTTATTTTATATTTAAAGGGTATTTAAGATAGATTTTTATACAGAATGTCCTAAAATTTGATCCTATTAAATTTTTAAGAACTAAGGGTATTTAATATAAATGGACTGCCGAATTGTTATACAGGATGTCCTAAAATTGAGTTCTATTTAATTTTTTAAAATGGAATGTTTCAAGATACAGAGTGTTATTAAATTAGTATACAGGATGTACTCCAATTGATGCAACTTTTTATTTTATATTTAAAGGGTATTTAAGATAGATTAATATAATTTAATATACAGCATGTCCTAAAATTTGATCATATTCAATTTATCTGAACTAAGGGTATTTAATATAAATGGACTGCTGGATTGTTGTACAGGATGTCCCAAAATTGAGTTCTATGTAATTTTTTAAAATGGAATGGTTCAAGATACAGAGACTTATTAAATTAGTATACAGAATGTACTCCAACTTTTTATATTTAAAGGGTATTTATGATAGATTATTATACAGAATGTCCTAAAATTTGATCCCATTTAATTTTTATGAACTAAGGGTATTTATTATAAATGGACTGCTGGATTGTTATACAGGATGTCCTAAAATTTATTTTTTTTTAATTTAAGGGTATGGAAAGATTTTTATACAGGGTGTCGTAAAATTTGTGTTCATCTTTTTTTTTTACAATGGACATTTTATTTTATTTTTTTTAAATGGAGTGGTTCAAGACATATGTGGTTATTAGATTAGTATACAGGATGTCCTTTAATTCATGCAACTTTTAATTTTTTAAGTAAAGGGAATTTGCGATACGGAGTATAGTTATACAAGATGTCCAGAATTTCGTTTAGATTTTTTTTTATAATAATGGTATTGTACAGCATGTCCTAAAATTCGATTGTAATTAATTTTTCTGAACTAAGGGTATTTAATAAGTATATTAAATTTTATTGCGGATTTTTTTGACAGCCGAATTATGCATTTCTGACAAATTCATATGATGATAAAAGCATTTTTGCAATTATTCCAGTGATTTTTCCGAAAAAAATTCTCATATATTACTTGACGTTCTTTACAATCTCGCATATAAATTTTTCTGATACCTCAACATTTCTAAGAAAAAATATTGAAATGTAATAGGCGCTACTAAAAATGTAATGCCAATTCTAAAATAATTAACTGATAATGTTTTATTCTTAAACGGGTTTCTAAGAAAACCTTGTGGTCGACAGAACTCTCTATGTATAATGATGTGCAAAAAATTATCGGTGGGCCAATGGACTATATGTGTCTAAATTAAATACATTAGTAAATGTCGCACGCTTCTTCTTTTTTACAAATTTTAAAACGTATTTATTTACTAAACTTTTCAAGCAACCCTATCACACATTTTCTATACATAGTTTTATATAATGACAACTTTTATCGGTTGATATATATATATAAAAAAATAGGTTTCCCCTGGATTACAACAATTAGTAAGTTCTGCAATCGGACAAGAAACTCCAGATCTCATACAACATCAACAACAGCACCAACAACAGCAGCAGCAACAACAACAACATCAGCATCAATTCCATCAAGTCCAACATCAACAGCATATCAGGCACGACATTCTAGATGACGCCAACATGCCCAACATCAAGCTCGACGATCTTGCAAATAGCATTTTGGTACAGGACGGACCCTTACCGGAAATCAAAAAGGAAGAAGTCGACGATATCATTTCGGAAATCATACAAGGTAAGTCGAGGTCGATAATACCGGAACGGTACAATAAAGAATTCGTTGCTGTTTAGCCGATCCCGAGCAACATCTTCAACTCGACGGTAACGGTGACCTCAATTTGAATCTAGAACTCGACGATTTCGACGACGACGAAGCGTTGGAGGAGTTTCAACAGCAGCAAGACCAACAGCAGCAGTTGCATCAACAGCAGCAGTTGCAACAACAACAACAGCAGTTACAGCAGCAACAGCAGCAATTTCAACAGCAGCAGCAACAGCAGCAATTTCAACAGCAGCAGCTGCAACAGCAACAATTACAACAACAGCAGCAGCAGTTACAACAACAGCAACAGCAGCAGTTACAACAACAGCAGCAGCAGTTACAACAACAGCAGGAGCAGCAGTTACAGCAACAACAACAGCAGCAGCAGCAGCAGCAATTACAACAATTGCAACCTAAGGAAGAACCTAAAATTGAGACGAAATCTGAAGAAAAAGCTATGAATTCTACTCCAGCTCCGGTTGTTGATCCCTTCGAGTTTCAAGAAGATCCTGTGATACATTTGGATACCACTCTTAAGGTATTTAAATGTGTTTTTTTTTAATTTATTGGCCTATATAGCTAGGATGATATAGCCATTTGGTAACAACAGGTAAATAATTACAATATTTTACAGCTTAATTTTAGACATTTGTATAAATTTTGATATTTATTTAGCATTACCGAAAGACAAAAGCTTAAAAAATATATCAAAAAGTGTAACAGGATTAAGATGTGGTGACGGCATCTGCACGTTTTTGAAGTCGTTTTTTTTTTTTAATTTTTAATTTCTAATACTTGTCTTTTATACCTATTTTCTTGAGATGCACCATACTCAAACAATGGCCGCTTCTTAATCTGCAAATGGTACTAATATCTTTTCTATTCAAATTTTTTTATTTTTTCAAACCACGGTCTCGTTAATGGAATTTGAATTACATCTCCATATAGACTGTTTTTAACGTGGCATATCACTTTATATTCCTCCTCTCATATTTTCCATGTATTGGATTTAAAAAAGGGCAAGAGTTCACTATGATGCACCCTGGCATTAATACTTAATACTTCCAGTCGGATTTTTTTGGCCAGTACATCTACTTCCTCATTTCCAGTTATTCCGCAGTGACTAGGAATCCGTACTAGACAAATATCTATCCCCAAACTCTTTGCGTTAAGGTGATTACAGCACCCCTTATAATTTTCGAACAAGCATATCTCAAAAAGTAATTTTTTTATAAAATTAAAATTTTGTCAAAATCAATGAGGCAATAATATCTAAAATATGCATATATTTTAAAAGTTCCTTCCAGTTTCCAAGAAAAAAAAATCAAAAGGCTTTAAATTTTGAAATATAATGAAAATAAAAGCATTCCTCAACAGCACTATTATTAATATTATCCCCAAATTTAAGCTCTTAATCTCTTGTTAATGATTTTTTAAAATTCGCCGAAATTAGTGGCTAAAACGCTTCGTTAAGTGCTATTTTCTGGTTTAAACTAGTGTAAATCATTGCAAGAAACGAATGATGACTCATAGAGTGCGATACGATAGTTACAGTCGCGTTACACCAGAAAGCAGCACTTAACGAGGCGTTTCAGCCACTAATTTCGGCGAATTTTAAAAAATCATTAACAAGAGATTAAGAGCTTAAATTTGGGGATTATATTAAGAATACTGCTGTTGAGGAATTAATTTATTTTTATGATGATATTTCAAAATTTAAAGCCATTTAATTTTTTTTCTTGAAAACTGAAAATAATTAAAACTCTAAAATATATGAATATTCTAGATATTATTGCCTAATTTATTTTGCCAAAATTTTAACTTCTAAAAAAAATTACTTTTTGAGATAATGCTTGTCCGAAAATTATAAGGGGGTGCTGTACTCACCTTAACTATACTATTTTTTGTTTCTAATGTTAAATAGTCCCTCTTAGTTGATATGCATTTACTGGAAATTTTTTGAATAGTACTTTTAGAGTCGCTAAAAATGACTGCCTTGCTAATATCCTCTGTTATAATAAATATAACCGCTTCTTTAATTGCATATATTTCGTCCGAACAGATTGAAAAGAAATTTGGAAGTCGAAAAGATTTGGCAATTAAATTTATAGAAAAGATACCAGCGCCAGTTTTGCCCTGCCGATCTTTGGTTCCATCAGTTTGGAATTATATTAGATACTTACTGAATGTGGTCTCAAGTGGTATAAACCTACTCGTATGTATTTTTTTATCACATTACAATACAAATGATATTCTCATATTCTTTCTCTCATATCCTTCTTAGTTCTGCAGGGATTTCAGGAACTGGCGATGATTCAAACATTTCGATTTCATAAAATTTATACTGCTTAATTTTTAATGATTTCACACACGGGTTTTCTTGATGAATTATACAATGAAATGCGAATTATTAATGTCATTATTTCTTTATGATCAAATTTTATTTTAGCCACCAGTTCCTCACTTTTTTCTATCATGAGAACTCCTTATAAGCATTTAAAATGTTAGCAATAACTTTAACTTGACTTTCATGGCTCGAAGCGTGAGCAAATCTATTATTTTCCAATTTTGGTCGACTGCGCAAAACAAAATTGCTTGCCGCACATCTCGTAATCCTTGGCTAAGCATTAAAAGCGCGATTTAAAACAAAAAGCTATTTTAAAACATCAAAAATCGAGATCCAGAGCCTCTGGTCGGAGAATTGCTACTAGGAAAGTTTCCTACACAGAGAATTCTACTCGATACAAAAAGATCCGTTATTAAATAACGTTTTACATGATTGTAACTTAAATCAAATGTATATGAAGGGTGACATTTTTATTATTTCATATTAGGTTTCTGCGATAAATAAACAAGACCACAAACAGTACGTTCCTCAATATCAGCAACAAACTAGTCAATTAGAATCGGTAAGCAGTTCCGACATGGAAGATCATCAGCAACAACATACAACTCAAAGTGTCGATATTCAAGCAGAAGATAACGACATTGTTCCGGTAAACACGCAAGAAGTAAGTTCTATTTATCATTATCAAAATTGTCATCTGTCAATATATCGAATCTCTTCATAGCTAAGTTAAAACAATTTTGATGATTGGTGTAGAGTGGTTTGCTGCATGGATTAACTCAAAAGATGTTACTTTTGAAGCAAGGGTGTGATATATTTAATTTACTTGTCACTGATTTACGAAATTTTATTTATTTATTTTTACATATTAAATTGCTGTGATCAAGATAACACTCTTGGAGTAACACATTTATATTTATATGTAATAGCTTAAGATCAATATTAGTATGAGAGCCCACTGCAAATTTCGACCGTCATCTGATAACGAAATGAAATATGCTCCAAAGGCATGTAACAACATTGTACTTTACCAAATTGCACCTATACCAATCTATATCCTGAGCAAAGTGGTTAAAAAAATTATTTTATATTCAAAAAATCACATAAGACATGACAGCGACAATTGTGTTTTCCCTGAAAATTACAACCCTAATTCATTGTGAACCTAGCTTTTAAAAAGAAAGATGGCATTGTATAGACCATTTGCAGAGATAGTCAATAATAATTATAATTATATACCGTGCAAATTTTTGAGAAATTTTTTTTTTAAAAATGTGTGTGTTTATACAGTGTCTTATGAGAAAGTAAGACTTCAACAACAATTTTCGAATTATAATTAATTTTACTATTATTTATTGATTAGATGGAGTAGAAAAAAACTAAAAATAAGGTTTTTGAAATATTTAGGTTTTGTTTTTTACAATAAAATATATAGGTTACCGTGGAATTTATTGAGAAATTATTATTAAAAAATCACAAAAAATTTTCAACTAGGTTACTTGAAAATTTTAAATTTAATGAGCATATACATAATATTACCAAAGAAGCTAACAAATTATTAGGATTTCTGAAAAATACGTCTGGGGACTTTACAGACACATACTCAATTACAAATTTATTTTTTCTCTCGTTCGAAGTAAATTAGAATATACATCCACTGTATGGGACCCTACGCAACAAAATTTAAAACAAATTTTGGAAAGCATTCAAAATAAATTTATTAAATGCTTATATTTCAAAAAGTATCGTACGAGTCTAGGCTTTGTCTCATTTGAACCTATTTAAAATTGAAAAATTGGAACATAAGCGCTCTATAATTAACCTCGTATTTCTACATAAATTATTAAATGAATATATAGATAGTCATTATTTATTGAGTCAAATAAATATCAATGTTCCATTGACAGGTATTCACCCCCGTAAATAAATAATCAAATGAATAATCATGGTCCATTAGAAAAAATTTAACGTACATTCCAAAGACATCTCTTGCCGTATTTTTGATGTTGCTATAAGCACATACAGAAAGGAACTTACAAAAATTATTAAGGTAACATGATTTTGTAGGATATTCGTGGCTTTCGTGTGGGGTTTGTAGCGCTCTGATTATTTTAGCATTTTTATTTTTCTTTAAACTTTGATAAAAACATTTTAGTAGCAATGTTTGTTTAAGATTTATATTACCCTACAAAAGTTACGTTTCGCTAACGCAAGATGGAGTTACGATAGCACAAAAATTGTTGAAAACTAGCGCTAAACATTATAGTTTTCTGTAACTACAAATATTGCTAATTAGAGTTGGTGCGTGAAGCAAAAGAGGGCAACACTTGATATAGCTATTACAGAGACGGAACAATATACGTTGTTGCCAAGTATATACACAGAGGTATCTACTGTTCTAGTTGTCACGTAAATATTGTTAAGCGGCGGAGGGTTAAAATCGCGTAGTTTAGATTTTCTTTGGCATTTTATAGATACAATAATTATTGTGTTAGTTCTCGAAATAGTTGTTTTTGATTTTTAGATTTAAATGGCTTAGGTTGTCTAAAAATCGTCCAAGGAAAACGAGTTATTCTCAAAAAGAAAGTTTAATATGTTTCTAAAGTAAAAATTATCCTAAGACAAATAATAATATTTTACCTATTTTTTATTTATATACGCCGATATCATAAAAACTGCAAAAATTTGTAAAAATGTATTCTTGTTTATTACTAGATAAAAACTTAAGGATTCTAACTATTGTAAAATCATAATTTTATCTAAAATAATAAAAGAGATAATTAAAAGACACTAGGGCCATGTCAGCATTTTGACGAGCGTACCGTAGATTCACAATGAAACCTTTTCCATGCTGGACCAAATCAATTTTGTATACATAATACGTACATCGGCCTAATTGGTTAACTATTCAGCTGGGTTACGTTTAAATTTATATGATTAGTAGTCTGTACGGTGTACACAGCCAGACTGAGCAAAATTCAAGATACAGAGAAAAATAGTATTTTTATTTTGTAATATGATTTCAAGGAGAATTTTACTTTTGAAATATACATATATTATATTTTAAAAACTTTACCAATAAGTATTTTCGGTTATTTTAATACTGCTTACATACGGTTTTAAAACTGGCACCTACTTCCCAATCTGGAATGTGATAATCTTACTGTGAAGTGATTTTTATGTTGGTAATATAAACAAACAGTCTTTGGGTGCATACGCCATGGAATATCTAAATTCATTAGTCAGTTCGTTTTTTGCTTTAATTTGTATCAGACTTCATTTTTAAAAAGATAACTTCTTGTGAAATAATTTTTTTCCCATATTAACCAATATAAATTATTAGTGTTTTAAGTTTTGGACATTTATTTTATATTTTAGTTGTTAAAAGTTATTAAGAACGCAGATAAAATGCCCCGATTATTTCCGAAAAAATCTCGTCGGGGTTGGAATTTACGAAAAACGGATTTGTAAGTTTTTGAGATATTATTTATTATTTATATATGTATAACGCTCGGTCATAGAAATATATTATTAAAGCTTAAAAATCTATATATCTAGAATTTTTTCAATATTCAAACAAACACGGTGTGTGACAAAATTCGCTTAATTTTAAATTATTACAAAACATCGAATCAAAATATTGTGAAACAAAATATTAAGAGACAAACATCAAATAAAGAACTTTTTAATTATTTTTATGAATCAGGCCAATCAGCTGACTGGAGCCATAATTGTAAATATATATTTTATAAACCATACACAGTATGATTAAAAAAAGAGGAAAAACGTTATTTTTTTCTTTTCTCGACTTATATTTTAAGATATATAGGTAGTTTATAAACCATATACAGTATGATTCAAAAGAAAACAAGAAACACGAGAAAATATTACTTTACCTTTCTTGACTTATACTTTAAAATTTCGACGGTCAAATTGCGTAATTTTTTACTTTACCTACTTTGAGTTTACTAATAAAGTGTAAAAGTTATATATGCGCTGGCTATAACTAATTAATGAAGCATACAACTTGGTAATAACAAATATATATGAAAAATTAAACTCGTTTTCTTACCATTCCAGAGGAAGAGTTTTTTCTCACATATTCAAAGTTTTCTATGGTCTTTTGATACGTACGAAAGATATTAAGAAAATATTTTTGTCCATTTAAAATATTTAAATTATACAGTGTGAAAAGTCTATTATAACTGGCCCTATTAAATATAAAAAAAAACATTTACAGAACGGTAGACAGTATTAAATTCTATATTTTAAAATTTGTTTCGAATATGCAGGGTGTTCGATAACTTCAGTGTGAAACAAAATTCTCTTTTTTAAATGAATCATCCTGTATTTTATATTATATTTGAATTACCCTTGCTTTCTCCATTATTATCATATCAAATAGTATAGGATTAGGTATTTCACACGCTATAATCAGTTTTATACAAAAAACGTATTGATTTAAATTTTTTAAATTGACCACCCTTTTTATTATAACACCATTCAAAAGTACCCTTATTTAAAAATAGTTTCATTTGAGTTAAATATTATTTATATACCTAAAGTTAATATTTTTTGGAGATTCTTAGAAATGTTGAGTTGGACCTTTGAAAACCATCTTTAGATCTCCCTATTTGGTCTAACTTTTTTCTCCGCCTCTGAAAAATATGAACAAGGTGTCATTCAATTCTAAATAGCGTGTAGATGATATTTGAGCCGATTGCAAAAATTGCAAAAGTTATAAACAATTAACTAAAAAAAAAATAGGGTTTGGTTTTTTGCACATATATCAAAAACTATGTGACCTTTTCCAAATTTGAGAAAAGATTCAAAAAGGGGAGGAAATTTCCCATCAAATAACCTACCTCCCGGAACTGTAGGATCAATATTTATAACTTTCTTAGAGGATTGAAAATGCGACCGAAAACGGAGACTGGCTTGCGTAAGCTTCGCCCACTGTGGACCTTTAATGAATATATATTATTTAAACTTATTTAATATGAAAATTAGGAATTGAAACAATTCAGGCATATACTGGATAGATGAATAAACAATAATCCGCGGGCAAAAAATTTTTATCGCGTTTTTCTATTATGCATTAGTTAATTAACAATTTTTTCCTACTTGAACATGCAATGTGGGATAATTTTAAAATAATAAATCTGAAGAAACTCCCGTTAGAAAAATTAAAAAAATATTGGGTATAATATATTTGCTCGTACATACAATATGTTAACTTTTCCATAAATGCACTTAAAGAACGGTATATAATAAGCGATGCTATTTTTTTGACAGAGGTAGAACAGTCCGCGCCAGCCCACTAGTGACAGAGGTGTAACGATGCGTCTAATCACGGCAGGCAGTCAGCCGATTTACGAAAATCTCTCCTTATTTTTTTTTTCAAATGCAAATATAATTAAGTGGCTCATCTTTATTTCAAAGGATTCATGTGTTAACGCACTCTATGTATCACAATAAAATTTCCAAAATTTTCTTTGTCGTCGGATATCCGTATAATCAATAAATAATCCCATAATTAATTATTATGTTTGCTGTTATATTAACCATTCTGTAATATCATATATTCTCTGATATGTAATTCGATTTGGCAACATCGTAAAAATTTCGCCGGTCACGATACATCCAAGTGGGTAGATTCAGAAACGTTAATTCAATATATATTCCTAGCAGCACCAACTGGACTAATGTTTTAGGTTCCAAATTTAAAAATATTTAATAAATTAAAACATTTTTATTCACTTTTTACGATTATTCAGTGTTTAGAATAAATCTTAGGTAGTGTGTAAAGTAACAAAAAGTTATAATAACAGGAAATAGACTAATTTTGTACGTTTATAAAAGTTTTAACGATAATTTATTGTGAAATAATAATAATATTATTATTTATAAAAAAACTGTAAGTTTAAAAATTTTAGAAAAATTCTCCCAGTATAACAATGACATAGAGATCGCATAGAACAATTTTGAAAAAAATCTGATGAAAGATAACTTTTTTACATACTTGAATTTTTGAACCAAACATTTTTTTTCTCAAAAACGGCTTACCAGATTTTTTCAAAAATTTGTCCATTAGTTACTTATTTGATGAGTAAGTTAGGTGAATTTTTTGAAAATTTTTGAACATAAGATTAATTTTTTGGTCGGGTAAGATAAACCTTAATATAAACAAAATTAAGTGTATTAATAATTATATATTGTGTATTTTTGTTGATTTCTTTTTTGTTAATAATATTACGAGTAGAAACATGTAATTAGGCTAATGCCTGTTTGTTTCTGAAAATAAGTAAATAAATAAATATTTGTCTTACATTCCAGCCACAATCGTCAATGGAACCTCCTCAAGACACGTCCCAAGTCTTTCAACCGAAAATCGAAGAGCCTACAGTGCCTGGTTCGGTGGAAATCGTGGAAGTGGTCGTCACCGATGAAGACGACGATACGGATAAAGACATATTGAAATCGGATACTTTAAATTCCGTAAAATCGGACGATTCCGAAGACGTGAAATCGATTCAGGCCGAAATCGAAGATAAAATTATTAAAATGGAAGAAACTGAAGAGAGCAGTCCGCCAGAAAGCAAGGTAGGGTGTTTTCAAAGAGGCGTAGTGAAATAAGGTAAAGATACCAGTAGTAGTCGACATCTTAAGGAAAATCTAGTGGTAAATTTACAATTAATTTCATAAATTTGCCTCTATATTTTGTTATCAACTTCAGATAGAACACCTTAAGTGTGGTCTAGGTAAACATTCGTATTAAAATGATAGATTGTTTTAATTTTTTTTTTGGTAAGTTTTTTTTTTACTTCATGCATTTGCACCAAAAGTGACAGATTAGCTAGTTCTAGTAGTTGACATGATTTGCTCCGGTAGTTGACATCCTACTTAGTGAGGTTAATAAAACAAACAATTTCGGATTAATTAATTTATTCATTAATCAAGAAGTTACACCAATGGATTCTTTAAACCTATAGCTAACCCTTTCACCCTTCAACACTAATTCAGGCTGCTCCAATTTTTTTAACACTTGACAAAAATTTATTTTGCTGATGTCCTTTTCAACTGCTATAAATTCTTTGTGAGTGTTATCAATGCATTTACAACACATACAAACAATATTTTCAAATGAAATTAATACGCACACAAATTTAAACCCTGACGAATTTTGTTTGTCACCCTTAAATTGGGTAAGAATATAATCGCATTCCTTTAATTCATGTTATTGGCAATTAATACGTCCTCTTCATCTTCACTTTCTAATGTTTCTAATATGTCAAATTCTTGAAGAGAAAACCGAGTAGAAGAATCATTTGAAGAACTTGAAGAAGACGAGAGAAATCTTTTCTTTCTAGTTGTAGCCTTTTTGGTCTTTTGCTTAGATTCTGCCTTTTTTTTGTCCCATATTCCTTTTTTCTCTTCTCTAGCTAATTTCCGTTCTTCCTTTTGTCTTTCCATCTCCTTTTTGGTATTCAATTTTTTATTAAAATATTCCAACATTTGTGGAGAAGTAACAATGGCTGGTAATTTTTCTTTTCTTTTTTTCTTAACTTCAATTGGGCCGTCTTCCTTCCAAAACAAAACTCTTTTAAAAGGGGAAGGAATGTATTCTTTATGATCAGTAAATCCCTTCACTAAAGGGGTAGTTTTGAGATGGTGCAGTTCAGTGCTAGTAGAACAAGAAGGTGCATTCATGTTTGTCACATTGTTTAACGGAGTCTCTGGTGCTACTCGTGACTCTGGAGTTGATGCTTCTATAATTATTGGTCCAGCAGGAGAAATGTTTGTGTCTTCAGACTATACATCTAAGAACTCCGGTTTTTGTATGGATGCCAGTTCTTCATTAGATTGCTGAAAAAATTATATTTAGTTCTAGTAGTTCATATGTACATAAAAGTAATGTTACGTATTCTTCAGTATTTTTGGGTTGGTGGTCATGCCACAATTTCCATAAATTAAATAAAGATGTCTTCAGTGGGCCCTTTCCATTAATTTTGACTGTCCATAATCCTTGCCGATTTCACGTTCTAATATTGTAAAAAATAGTCTCATGTTTAAAGTTTTAGTTTCTGCACTCTCTATTAACCTTAACTGTCTTTGGATCCCAAAGAACCAAGCCACATTTTTTAAATCAGTTTTTTATTGTTAAATCTTTAATATGAGGAAGAACTTCTTTTAATAGTGTTGCAAAATTGTACTTATTAGGAGGCTTTCCATTATGTTGAATTTTCCAATCTGCAACTTTCTGTCTCCAAATGGTTTTTAAGACATGAAATAGAGATACATCCGTAGGCTGCATAATGAGTGTAGCATTTGGATATAATGCTATTAATTCAATATTTTTGTCAATACAAAATTGATTAAGTTGTAAGGATAGGTGGGAAACATGTCCATCTAATAACATCACAACTGGTCTGGGAATACCTTCTTTTTCAAGCCAGGGTACGAAAATATTAGCAATGTATTCAAAGAATGGCTCTTGAGTCACCCATCCTTTTTCTAGACTTTCCTATCGCCCAGTCAGAAGGAAAATTTTCAGCTATACCTTGTGGTATCCTGGTATCCTAGTGGAGGTGCAAGTTTTCCATTTGCATTGGCTGTAATTAAAGTTGTTATATTGAATTTTTCATCATTACCAGCAGCATTATAAACAGTTTTACATCCTTTGGGAGCCAGAACTTTGCCCGGTTTTGGATTTAAAAAGATCGCAGTTAAATACACAATTTGGATTTTTTATGACATTTTCTATTTTCTTCTCCTTTAAATATCTCGCAATTTCCTCAAACCATTGATTGATATTCTTTTGTGTAACACCTCTTCTTTGAGAATGTTAAGATTTGCAGACTTTTCTTAATTGTGGTAGTTAGTGTTGTCCTAACGTGGAAAACTTGATTTTTAGGATACAGCATCGATAGCGACGTTCGAAGAATCGTCCGAAGCCTCCGACTCAGCGGTAGAAGTGAAAAAAGAGCCCTGCGGTCCTATCGCCGACAGCCAAGACAGCGGCGACGGCGACCAAAAACCTAATTTCGGCGACGAACTTTTCGACGAGCTCAACATGGAGGTGAAATTCGACAAGAGCGGCAAGAAACGCGATTACTCCCGTACGAAGAAGAAGGAGGAAAAGGGATTCGATATCCTTCTGGCGATCGAAAAGGCTCATCTGGAGGAATCCGAATTGACCGAAGAGACTTTATCGGACGCCACCACCGATACGGAGAAGAAGGACGCGAAATTGTTGAAAATTAAGACTGAGCTCGACCGGTCGAATAGTCCTTGGACCGAAGAAGAGGAAGGGGGAGCGAAGTTTAGCAGCAAAAGACGGTATTCCACACCGGTTACTCCGACTGATTCGATTCCGAATTCGCCTGCGTCTTCGACGGCGTTTTTGGACGACGATCGGGAACACAGGAATTGGAAGAAGTCGGTGATGTTGGTGTACAATCGATTGGCCACGCATAAGTACGCTTCGTTGTTTTTGAAGCCTATTACAGACGATCATGCGCCAGGTAAGTGTTATTTCCTCATTTTGAAAATTACATTTATTTGACGTCTTGATGAAAAGTTCAGAGTGATTTTTTTGAACAAATTCCGACAATTATTTTCATGAAATTTTGAAATTTTTGTCGACTTCTTTCAAGAAATTGTGACATTTATTTGACGTTTACACCCGTTAGGTTACAGTAACACCGTTTACCGACCCATGGACCTGCTCACGATCAAAAAGAACGTCGAAAACGGCACCACGCGATCTACGTTGGAATTCAAGCGCGACACCATGTTGATGTTCATGAACGCCATCATGTACAACAGAACCAACAGTTTGGTGTACACCATGGCTCTAGAAATGCAACAGGAATGCGTGGAACCTATTGAAATACTCATGATGGCGGAAACCCACAAAGACATCTCGCTGAGAAGGGAAACTCGCACCAGTGATATAGGTGAGTCGATTTTTTGGTTAGGTTCGGTATTTTTTGAGTTATTTAACTAAAAAAATACATGTTAAATATAAAACATGTGACATTTGACATTTTTAAGTGAGATTTGACATTTCAAACTTACATTTTGAGTCCTAATTGGCCTTTTACTTGTTATTTGACATTTTTGTATAATGTATAATTATTTGTGAGGCGCTTTTCAGGTAAAATGGTTATAAAAAGTGACATTTGACAGTTTTAATTTTTGTTTTTAACATCTTTTAAAATATTGTAGCTCTTAATCGACATTGTCATTTTATCTGTCATTTAACAATTGACATTTTTGATCATTGACATAATTGACAATTGACATTTAACATTATTGATTATCAGTCGAGGATGTATAATTTTAAAGCGTTTTTCGACAAACAAAACAAGAGATATTTCATGCTTTTATACTAGATTTGACTATTAAAGTGATATTTGACACTTTAAAGTTACAATTGACACTTTTAGAGTGAAATTTAACACTTTTAGAAGGACATTTTTGGCTTTTTAAGTCACATTTTACACTTCTAAAGTGATATTTGATGCTTTTAAGCGACATTTGACGCTTTTGAAGAGACATTTGATACTTTTAAAGTAACAGTTAATACTTTTAATTTGAAATTTTTGGGGTTTTTACATTTGACACTTAAAATGATAATTTTACTTTATTGACGTTTGACATTTTTGATAATTGACATTTAACATTATTTTTTTGTCAATATAATTAATATTGAGTCGTTTTTTAGGTACAAATAATATAAAAAAAATACATTTGATCCTTTTAAAGTGACCTTTAAATATTTAAAGTTAGATTTGATATTTTTGGAAGGACATTTTTGGCTTTTAAAGCCACATTTTACACCTCTAAAGTGACATTTGACATTTTTAAGCAACATTTGACACTTTTAAGTGACATTTGTTACTTTTAAAGAGATATTTGATACTTTTAAAGTAACAGTTGATACTTTAATGTGACATTTGACACTTTTTTAACTGACATTTGACATTTTTTTAATGTGAGATTTTTGGATTTTTACATTTGACACTTAAAATGATTATTGACGTTTGACAATTGATATTTTGTTGTCAATGGAGAGTGTATAATTAATTTTAAGGCGTTTTTTACAGGTACAAAAATTATAATTTGATCCTTTTAAAGTGACATTTGACATTTTTGACATCTTTCGTTGTCAATCGAGGAGTTATGATTAATTTTGAGGTGTTTTTTCAGGTACAAAAAGGAAAAGGACGTTGACAGACGAAATATTAATTAAATCGACGACGAAGAAGCGGAAGGAAGATTAGCGCGGAAACGGATCGGACGTTGAGAAACAATTTTGAATTTGGCCTTGCGATTTTTTGGTTGTGTACAAATAGAGTTAAATAATTATGTTGATGTTAGTATTAGAGAATTATAATGTTCATTTGTAAATATAGAAGTAAAGAATCTTTTTTTTTTCATTATGCGTTTTTTTTATTAGAAGAATGTAGAGTGTTTCAATTATTTATCCGTTACAAACTTATTTAAAAAGCATACAAAATTTAGGGACATCTTGAGAGTAGATAGTAAGCCACTTGAGCACACAGATCTGGAGAAATTTGTGTAGTTGATCTGGCAACACCGCACTGCAGGAATCAAAATAGTAAGCACGTCCGATTATTTAACCAAAAACTTGATACAAAAAGGGCAATACCGCTTCTCCAGCGATCGATAGCTGTTAGCTACGTAACCGAACTATTTAACTATAGTAGATAGTAAAGACAAGCAGTTTTGATTTTTCCCCAGATCCGGGGAAATTTGTCGAGTCGATCAGGCAACATCGCATCACATGAATCGATGGTAAATATGTCCGATAATTAATCAGAAACTTGGAAAAATGGCAACAGCGCTTCTCCAGTGATTGATGGCTGTCGACTACGTAACCGAACTCTGTAACCATAGTAAATAGTAAACTACTTTAGCACATTTTCTATTTTTCCCCAATGTTGGGGAAATTTGTCGAGCCGATCAGGCAACATCGTACCATATTAATCGGTCGTAAATACGTCCGATATTTAACCAGAAACTTCGAAAAAAGATAACAGCGATTCTCCAGCGTTTGATGGCTGTCAGCTACGTAACCAAACTATTTAACCATAGTAGAGAGTAAACTACTTGAGCACATTTTCTATTTTCCCCAGATTTGGGGAAATTTGTCGAGTCGATCAGGCAAAATCGCATCATAGGAATCGGTCGTAAATACGTCCGATAATTAACCAAACTATTTAACTATAGTAGAGAGTAAACTACTTGAGCACATTTTCTATTTTCCCCAGATTTGGGGAAATTTGTCGAGTCGATCAGGCAACATCGCACCATATGAATCGATCGTAAATACGTCCGATAATTAACCAGAAACTTCGAAAAAAGACAACAGCGATTCTCCAGCGTTTGATGGCTGTCAGCTACTTAACCAAACTATTTAACCATAGTAGATAGTAAACTACTTGAGCACATTTTCTATTTTTCCCCAGATTTGGGGAAATATATCGAGATGATCAGACAACATCGCACCACATGAATCGATGGTAAACACATCGATGTTTACCAAAGTTCTTTATATCTTATCAAAGTTGTTTACGTCCCTTTTCAAAATTGTATTACACATTATTGCAATGATCTGTTTCATAGTGTTCTGTAATCTCAAATATTTAAATGGGGTCTATTCTGTAACAATTCCTTTGGGGTCTATCCTGTAACAATTCCTTTATATTTAACGGTCTTTAAAAATATTTTCTTCTTTACTTGTCATTATTTAAACGGATCTTTAAAATACATTAGAGAAATCTGTTTAAATAATGAGAGAAGTAAATTAACGAATACGAAAATGTTTTTAGGACGTTAAATTTTTTGGTTTGTGAAACATTGGCATTAATTAGGTTAAACCATGTGATAATATCCGTTAAAATATTGGCGGCCTTTAAAAATATTTTCGTATTCGCTAATTTACCATTATTTAAACAGATTTCTAAGATAGTCCTCTAATGTATTTTAAAGGAATCCGTTTAAATAATGACATAAGTAATTTAGTAAATCCGAAAATATTTTTAAAGGCCTTTAATATTTTAACGGATAAAGGAATTGTTACAGAATAGACCCCAAAGGCTGTTATTTGATTTTAAAGCACATTTGGGCCAGACCGATTCTGTTTTGTGCTCACTTCACGCTTTTCGTCTTCTTATTTGCATATCAATGAGCTTATTACGAAATACAGCATTGGTTTGTATTTACAAATACATAACCTCATTTTTCATTTAAAAAGGAAAAAGATCCTGTTTTCGAAATATATTACATACATTATAAGTTATAATGGAAACAGTTACAGACAAAACAAATATTTCTTGTAAATTAGGTATTCTCAGTCGTCCAGATGGTTCAGCTATACTTAGCGAAGGTTTGTTAATTGTTAATTTTATGGAAATACGAATTGGAGAAAAAAAATCTTATTTTAGGTAATACAACTGTGATAGCCGGCATATATGGACCTGTAGAAGTAAAACTGCAGAAATTATTAATTGATAAGGCTTCGGTGGAATGCCATTATCGACCAAAAAGTGGTTTACCAGGTAAATACAAATTTTTATCTCTAAAACAAGAGTTGTTTTTTTAATAAATCCCAACATGTATTTTAGGAGTTGAAGATAGACTATACGAATCAATTATTCGAAATATATGCGAAACATCTTTCTATGCTTCATTACATCCTCGAACGGCTATTTTAGTGACTATACAAGAACTACAAAATAGCGGTCAGGTAAATAATTGTTTGATTACCAATCCATTAATTTCGACTATATTTTGTAATTTATTTTAGTTAATATCTTGTGCAATTAACGCGGCTTGCCTAGCATGTCTGAATGCCGGTATCGATATGAAATTCATGTTCTCAGCAGTGACTTGCTACATGAATTTCGAAGACGATCTTTATTTACATTGCGCATCAGGAAAGGAAACCAAAGCGATGTTTGTATTCGTTTTCGATTCTACTGAAAAAAGGATTATAGCTTCGCATACTAAAGGAAGTTTTACAAAAGAGCAGTTTGAAGAAGCTGTAGAGTTAAGTAAGGAGGGATGCGAGGATAGGTTTACTTATTATAAGAAAGTTTTGGAGAGTTAAATAAAAGTTTTGTTTGGTATGGAAAATATGAATCGTTTTATTTTATATTATCTTCCAGGAAACATTAAAGTGCTAGTTGTATCCTTACAATGTACTCTTGATAGAAATAACTTAGAACTTAAATAAATACAAAGAATATAGAAAAACACTTTCTAATCTAATCAAAAAAGCTAAATATACCCATTATAAAAATCTAACATTAAAACATGTGAATGATCCAAATAAAATGTAGAATGTAATTAAAGAGGCCACTAATGACCATAAAAGTGAAAACGAAATTAAAAGCATCATGAATAGCCAATGAACTCATATTACAAATAAATAGCCTGAATAATAATGTAAAGGTGGCCAGGATAATATTAGTGCTAACATAATTAAAAATGCCCATGCTCATTTGTTGAGTCCATTAAAACATAATTAACATCTTTAGCTCAGGAATATTCCCTGATAGACTAAAAAGCGCCATAATTGTTCCATTACACAAACAAGGTGATAAAAAAATAATTATAGACCTATTGCTTTAACAAGCACCATTAGTAAAATTATAGAAAAATGTATTAGGCTTAAGTTGTTGCCATTTATAAACAAGTATAATTTAATCAATGAAAATCAATATGGCTTTAGGGATGGTTCCTGTACTGAATATGCATTGTGCAAGGTATCTAGTGAAATTTTTCAAAGATTAGATCAGGGGAATAAGGTGATTGGTATATTTCTAGACTTGGCTAAAGCCTTTGACACTGTGGCACACCAAATGCTACTAGATAGAGGTTACATCACATTGGTATAAGGGGTATAGCTAACAATTTAATTAAATCATACTTAAGTGGTAGATCCCACCCAAACAGCACACCAAATCCTTTGGATATCTACTTTACATCCCAATATCCACTGAATGTCCAGTCCATGGTGAATATCTATTTTATATCCATGAGATGTACTTTATAGACATGCAAATTTCCATAAATAATAGTAATTATATAGCAAATTATTAAAAAATTACGCCATTGTGCTCGCCATTATGGCTAATAGTACCGTTTAGATATTTAAAATTAATTTTTTTAAGGTGTATTCAATATCCCATGGACATCCACTTAAATATATCAAAGTCTAGGCGCGAACGCAAACCATGGTGGATATCCACTAAATGTAATTTTTGATTTTGCCCACTAAGAAAGTCATTCTTGGACCGATTTCGTCCTTATTAGGACTAGAATTATTTCCTTTTTTAAGAATAGCCCGCCTGGCTTTTATTCCACCTAGTCTCTGAACTAGGTACTACAGCGACCTTTGATTTTGCTTACTATAAGTATAGATGGCGATACCACTTTCGCTCGTTGAATATCTACTCATGCTCAACCCGCCGTAATTGAGTTCGATCGAAATTGGTATTACAATCAGACTCCATTAGAGACCGGAGTCGACAATTTTTATTTATTGTTGAAGAGTCTTAATAAAGATGACTTTCTCCTTAGTGGGCAAAATCAAAGGCACAGTGTTGAAAATATTTTCTATCGACGTTATTCAATAATCATTGGTTACTTATGAACCTCTACTAAAGATACCCATAAAATATTTTGCTGAATATCCTAATATCTTCTATATCTTGGGATATAGACGGACATTTGGATATCCATATTAGATCCACAAAATATATTCTGTGGATATCTCTGGGATTTCTTGTCTGGAAGATACCCATTAGATATTTTGCTGGATATCTTCTATATTCTGGATATAGACGGACATTTGGATATATCCATATTAGATCCACGGGATAATTCAGATATCCTGTGGATATATTGGATATCCACAAAAGATATTCTGTGGATATCTCTGGGATTTGGTGTGTTGTCTGGGCCCAGTTCTGTCAAATAGGCCAGTAACTTCATGTTAAGGTTACTATACTCTGAAGTTATTAGTGTTACTGTAAGCCAATAAATGATGGCGTCAATTTAGTCACGTGTGGGATGAGTATTGTTGAAGAATGTATCACTTGAGGCCATTCTACATAAAAACATTAAAGAAATAATGAATTCGAAACAGCCTTGGGCATCAAAAAATAAAAAAATCTGTTCTATTGTATGTAGGTGCACTATTCCTTAAGTACACCTGCTTATAAACAAGTTTTTACGTTGATATAACATTGTAGGAGTAACAATTTCCGAGAAAATATAGAAGTTTATTAATTTTGATGATGATGATTCCATTTTCGGTAACCGAGAAGTTTTTTTAAGATCTGCTGAAAAAATATCAAAAGATTGTACCCATTTATTACTTCCCATTTCAGGCATAGAACATTTTTATTTCTACCTAAGGTGTTATCGTAGTCTGGTTTCGACGACGGAACATCTTAAGTAATAATTATTGTCCCAACTTTGTACGGAATACAGTTTTGTGAGTTACGTAAGCAAAGTTAGTCCGGTGTTATCGCAGACTTACATCGCCGACTTAATTTCTCAACATCCAAGGTTCCCCGAGTCAATAAACCCTTTACTACTCGGGCAATCAGTGAATTTTTAATTCACTTATTTTCTGTCAATCACGAGGTAACGTTGTTCCAGTCACTAAATCAACTGTAATAAATCACATCCATTGTTAATTTTTAATTTATTGCCAGGAAAATAATTATTGTTTTTCGATAGCAATGCCGAGTGAAATATAGAGGATGTTAGAATTACATTAGTAGTATTCAACCTGTTGATTTTAAATTTACTTCGCAGAGCAAACTGCGTTATCAAAACGTGAAACAAGAAGACGTGTCACACCTTCTCACTTAGACCCGAATCATCTAAGTAAATGTTACCATAAATATGTATTGGTAAAACCAGTACATAATGATCCCCTTAATTGAAGCCTTTTTTTCTTATCTTTTTACCTCTAGAGAAGAACAACTTAAACTAGGTATCACTTACTCTTTTTACTCCTCAACCAGATCAGCATCCTCATCTCAACAATGTGTATTTTCTCCTAGCATTGAAAAGTATAGTAAAAATAAAAACAACTTTTATAAAAATACATGTTTATTAAATCAATAATTAAATACAAAATTAAGTTTTACTTATCATTACTCCATCCAGCTGAGTAGGTAAACTTTGTCCTATAATAGACAGGGAATTAGAGGTGAAAATTTAAATTTTTGAAAAAAAAAAAGCAGAATAGTTCTGTTAATTAAAAACCAAATTTCTCGTTTTAAGAATTTAAATTAGCCAACATAATCACCAGATTTGACACTGTTAGTAAATTATTAAAAATACGCTGAAAATAGAAAATACGTGACAGTTCAACAAGCCCCACATTGAGAGAAATCACATAGTTATTTTCAAACTAAATTTCTCGTTTTAAGAAACGAAATTAGCCAACACGATTTCCGGACTTGACACTGTTGGTCCATTATTAAAAGTACGCTAAAATAGAAAATATGTGATAGTTCAACCAGTCCCACACATCAATAGAAGTCGTACAGTTAATAATTACAAGTACATACCAAATTTATAGTTTTGAATCTTGAAATTAACCAACAAGATGGCTTGATTTGACGCCGTTATGTCAAAATTATTGATTTCCAAATGACAGTACTTTCTCAATACACTTTAATCAAAATTTAAATTACCACCTCTAGCTTTGAAAACTCGCCTATTGTATCATGTATATTACATTTAATCATCGACTAAAATATATCCAGATCCCCTTTTTTAGTCCACACTATACAGCGAATAATTTAAAAATGCTATGCTCGTTTTTTGTTAACTCCTACGTTGCCGGTTTAATCTCCACTGGGACTTTACTGGAAGGTAATAAGTGAAAGGACAACCACCAAGACAACACCGGCTGCAAAACTGCTAGAAAAAGAAGGAAATACAGCCGTCTCTTGTGCCCGGCCGTGGTCGATTGGGCACCGTAATAGTTCGCGTCTTGGGAGCTGCCGGCCAACACCTGTACCTGTTAAAAAGACACGTTCAAATAATTTTATACTTTGATGAAATGTATACAAACCTTCAGACTCCTCAATAAAAAGAACGCCAATGCCATGCAGGAATATATTAAGCAGGAATAGTAACCTAAGCTGCCTGCTACAGTGCTGACCATAATCGAAAAAATGATCGCTACAAATTTGTAACCCGAATAGGCCAAAAGGTCCAACGTACGGAGACTAGTTTCCACTTGGATCAAGTAACTAGGAATAAAAAACAACATTCAAATAAATATGACCGACATATTATTATTAAAAAAATTAATAATTGCAAACTAAAATGGGACCAAAATGAAAAAATACAGTAAATAAAGCTGAAAACAATGTGTGATCATCATTATTGTATATTGTTTGGCTTTGTGATTTATCTTTATTATTATTGAATAAACTTACAGGGCTCCACAATAGATGGCGAGCTCTACGAGCCACCAAGCCAACGCGGACGAGCCCAAAATTCCTAATTGCTCGGGGCTGAAACGATCCTGCATTCCTAAAACTAAACCGGCCGTCAGAACGTACGTAACGTAACCCATAACGGGAATGTACAAATCAGGAGCGTTTATTTCGAATCTGGGTTGAACTGGACCGTCCTGTTCGTACTTCACTGACCAGTCCTAAAAAAACGATCAATATGATCAACCCCACCAACATGTTTTTTTAGCTTAGAAGACATAATAAAGTACAACAGATATAGGTGAAGCTGCTTAAGTCATATGCACAGTGAATAGAAGACTATACTCGGACAAAATATTGGAGAAGGTGAGTCATATGCATGATCAACACTGTTGTCTATGAATGAAAATTCCGACAGAGTTAACATAGGCGGCGTATCAAATACCAGATAATTATTTATTAGGTATTTGTTAGTAAACTTTATTAAATTTGTTTGTCAACATCTTTATTTAAACAAAGATGATGCGTTAAATACACGTTTTTGATATTTTTCAAGAAATGAATATATTTATTCCCTAATGACTTCGTTATCTGTGTTTAATGGTTTTAAAATGTGTTTCAAGTAAATAAACGACAGACGGGTTACAGATTGAATATTGTCAGCACAGGCACAAAGACAGTTGAAAATTAACTTTCGACGAAGTTAGATTTGTATCGCTTTAACTATTTACGATAATTATTTTATATTTTATAAACACTTTTTTGTATAAGTGCTCTTTTCTGATATACGAGTAGGTGTTCATGTTTGTGCCTTACAATTTGGTAGTGGTAGTGCATATTCGAGGAGTTATAATTAATGGGTAGTATATTAGGTAGGTACTTTAAAAGTTTATTAAATAGTAAAATATTAGTGTCTTTATAAATTTAATAAAAACAATTTAATAGTAGAATTATATTGTTACAATAGTAATGGATTCAGAGGCGGGTCCAAATGAAACCCAATTGCTTCGGCGAAAGCCCTTATCAAAGGATGAAAAGAACATTATAAGGAAAGTGTATGATGGGCTGAAACAGACACTTCCTACAAATGAAGCTATAAACCACAGTTCTTTTTTAACTGGAGTATCTGTTTCAACAATTGAACGTATTGTACGCGAAAAGACAAAAAAAGGCTCCTTAGAAGCCCCTAAAACGCATACCCGTGGTCGAAAATTGTTGAAATTGGACGATAACCAAAAACAAATCATTCGAAGAACTGTACATTCTTTTTTTTTTCGAAAACAAAGCCCCAACACTTAAAGTTGTTCTTACGAAATTAAGAGAAAACGAAGAAATTCCATTAATGAGCCGTGAAACTTTACGAAAAATTTTATGGGGCCTAAAATTTCGTTTTGTCAAACGGTGTAGGAAATTAATTTTAATTGAGAGGTCAGATATAGTGTCCTGGCGACGGCGTTATTTACGAAACATTAAAGAGTTTAGAGCAGCTAAATAAAAGATATACCATCTCGATGAAACGTGGGTGAATGCGGGACACACGGTATCTAAGATATGGCAAGATACTTCTGTAACTACTCATCGCCAAGCTTTTATAGAGGGATTATCTACAGGTTTGAAAGCACCATCAGGTAAAGGACAGCGCCTAATTGTTACCCATATCGGAAGTGACAGTGGATTTTTGCAAAATAGCGCTCGTGTTTATATCCAAAAAAAAACAGGAGACTACCACGAGGACGTGAATGCGGAATGCTTTGAAAAATGGTTAACTGAAGTATTACAGCGTGTAGAACGAAATTCAGTTATTGTACTAGATAACGCTTCTTGTCACAGTCGACGAGTTGAACGCATTCCAATAATGTCCAGTAGGAAAGCGGATATGCAAACCTGGCTGCGGGATAAAGCAATAACATTTACTGAGGAGATGCTTAAAGTGGAATTAATGGCCCTAATAAAGGAACACCGCCATAAATATATTCAATATGTTGTCGACACAATGGCTCGTAATCGTGGTATTACGGTACTAAGACTTCCCCCTTATCACTGCGAATTCAATCCTGTTGAACTAATTTGGGCGCAAGTGAAAGGGTTTGTAGCTCGAGAAAATAAAACTTTTAAAATAGCCGACGTTTAAAGTTTAATAAAAACCGGTATAGAACGTATAAAACCTGAAGATTTGCAGAATGCCATTTCTCATGTAATTAAGGAAGAAAATAATATGTGGCGCTTGGACGGTATGATCGAAACGGTAGTTGAACCTTTAGTCATAACTTTAAGTTCCGACGATAAAGACGATTCCAGTGATAGTTCTGCAGAATCAATGGATAGATTTAGAATTCAAGTAAGTGATACCAAGCTTAATTTACATATTTTTATAATAATCAAAATACAATTAAAAACATAGATGAATTATTATAATAAAAATAGATAACCAACCTACTTCAATCTAGTAATATTCACAAATATCCATTTAATTTGCCAATATAGTATTTCTGCGACACTGGAAGAGTGCATTTTGATATCGTTACCTTTTGTAGTTTTAAGGCGCACCTTCTTCAATATTTTGTTCTAGTATAATACCCCATTTAACTTTCCAATAGTGTTTCTACGCCACTGGCATAATATTTACATATTTTAACAATAAACAAAACAAAATTATAAACATAAATGATTATTACTACAAAAATAGATAACCAACCTACTTTTATCTAATATTATTTACTATTACCGCATTTAATTTGCCAATAGTTTTTATACGCCACTGGCGTAATTCATTTTGGCAATAAACATGCATTTATGACTAATTGGCACGTGATTCCGATAACTTCTGCAGTTTTAAGCGCGTGATTCCATTCATTATGCTCTGGTATAGTATTATTGTTGTACGTGAACAGGGAGGAATCACCTTCTTCAATATTTTGTCCGAGTATAGAGCTCAGTTCGTTCCAGTTTTTTAACGTTGTCATTTGGATCTTAATATATTTGGGTGCCTATGCTTGAAAATGGGGAGAGATAAATATTGAAAGAACATTTTTACTTTCTACTAGAAGACATAATACAGTACAAAAGATATAGGCGAAGGCGTTAAAGTCATATGCACAGTGAATACAAGACTGAAGCTCATTTCTATCCAGTTTTTTGAGGTGATCATTTGGTTCTTAATATAATTTGGGTGCCTATGCTTAAAAATGGGGAGAAAGAAATATTGAAAGAAACTTTTTACTTTCTACTATCCCTTAACAATCTGTATTTACTTTTCATTTAAAACTTATTTGGATTTTTTCATGTATCTATGGATTTGGACTTAAGATATGCATACCTAGGGCAATTCTAAGTAAAAATAAGATAAAAATTAAGTAATATATGACAAAATAAAATATTAAATACAGATAAGTGCTAGACAAAATGACAAACATGGAGCAACTTCTTTATTTATAAAAAGTAGTGTCAAAAAAGCATTCCTGCACACTATTCCTTTAAATCTGTTTAGACCCATGTTTTTAAAATTAATATAAAGGTGGTTGTAGAGTTTTAATACCATAATATATTTAGGAGTTTTAAAATTATGATGAAAACCAATTATATAATAACAAGCACCTAGGTGAGAACACCTGTATGTGCTGACAAAAATTAAAATTAAACATTTTTTTTTAAATAAAAAATAAAACATGAACAATCTATGCAAGAAACAGAAAAAAACTATTTAAAAAAAATCCATGTATTAAGTCCGTTATTCTTGGAATATTCTGATAAACTTTGCATTATTTTGGAAAATGTAAATTTTGCAGAATTTTTTATATTTGTTTAATAATTTTATATGAAGAGGTATAACGTTATAGAACTTTGTCCCTAGATAATTTACACTGTTTTTAAAAAACTCACTATTTGGTTTTGGTACTTTAATGCACATATTCGATGCAGTTCTAGTGTTATGTCTATGTTCTAGAGGGTTTTTTTAAAAATTCATTTTTTTGTACATAACAACACACTACGTGAATATATAAACATCTAACATTGCTAATTTTTTTCACTACATAAAGTTATGGTGGGACACAATCTATCTCTTTTATATATTAACTTCAAGATTTTGTTTTGAATAACATTTAACTGATTTAATGTAGTTCCATACAGGCCTCCCCATACTAAGATTCCATACCGTAGTATAGATTCTACTAGACTGTAGTATAATGTTATTAGTAGATCCTGGTTGAGAAATTGTTTTAGAAGATAAAATTTATAAATCAATAAAGTTTTTTGCTATATATATTATATGGCAGTCCCATTTTAAGTGCTGGTCTATAATTATATTTGGATGTTTCTGTTTCCTGTATATCTAAATTTTGACATGTTAAGCTTCTAAATTGAGGTCGATCAGCCACTGTCTTTGAAAAAGCAATGTAGTTTGTTTTGTTAACATTCAAAGACAATTTAAAACATCCAGCCAGTTTTTGACATGTTCCATTCCAGCTATAGCATGTGTCTTGATGGCTTCCCAATCTTTATAACTGAAGACTAGCACTGTATCATCAGCATATGATACAACTTTACCTTGAATATCAATCTGAGTTAAGCTCTTAATGTATAAATTAAATAGTATAGGTCCCAGAACAGTCCCTTGAGGTACTCCGATTTGTTTATTTTCAGGGTTACTCACATTGTCTCTAACCTTTACCTTCTGTTGTCTGTGTGTCAAATAATTTTCAAAAACCTTCAACAAGATGCCCCTCACTTCATTCTGTTCAAGAACATTTAAGAGCTTCTGATGTGGCACCATGTCAAATGCTTTTGCTAGATCTAGAAATATAGCTATACACTTGTTATCAGTATTCATTTCATCAGTAACATATGAAATCAATTCATGCATAGCATCTCCTGAGTTAAGACCCTTAGTAAAGCCATATTGGTGCTTGGGAAGTAGTCATTAGTTTTTAAAAAATCTGTCAGTCTATCTTTCAGACATTTCTCAAATATTTTGGCCACATTACTAATTAAACTAATAGGCTTATAGTTAGTTATTAATTTTGGATTACCAGCTTTATAAATAGGTGTTATAATTGAAGTTTTAAATTGTTTAGGTACGATTCCTGTATTAAAAATACATTAATTATATGCACTAAAGGTTCCAGTAAATACGGATGTAGTAGTTTCAGATGTTTTACTGTTATACAATCAAATCCCGGGGCACTATTGTTTTTTAAACTATTTATGTGTTTTATAATATCATATATTTAAGAGATTTAAAATTTTGATATTACATATTTTTGAATTTCCAAGAGATTCGAATTTTTAGTTCAATAATTATTAAAAAATACAGATTACAACATGCATTTATATTAACCTTAATAAACAATAAGAATTTAAAAATATATGTACAAGTAAATGTTAAAATTTTACCAAACTGTATTATTTTTTTCAATCAGAAACTGATAAAAAAAAAATACCTGGGAAAAATTGAAGAAATTTTAAAATTTTGTGTAAGAAAAAATTGAAATTTAAGCAGCCTTGGGACTTTTTGAAAAAACTGGTTGGTAACACTGCACTTAGTACTTACCTTTATATAAAGATTACATTTCATAAAATCAGATATTAATGTAAATCATTCAATATTTATTACCTTGTGTGTAAATGGAAAAAACAATAACAACAATTTCGAAGCCACATAGTTGATGTCCACAGCGAAATAGTATTTCAATTTTGAAACAGGAACAAATTTTTCAACTTCATTCTTAAGCATAGTCGTTCCAGCACCAGCTAACTGAAACAAAACAAACATTAATTTCCACCAATTTGTAGAAAATAAAATTCTTACCTGTTGGCCGTATTGCATCGCCATATCTTGCACAATAGGCTGACTTAAAACATTTAAATTCTGTCCACCTATACCTACACCTATCGGATTCATATTATTAAACTGAGGTTGGTTATAATTTGGACCAGCTGGTACTGGTACAGGTCCTGGCCCTTTTGGAGTACTTGTATATTGTTGGTCAACTGGAGCAAAACCTAAAAATTCATTGAAATAAACTAAAAAAATACACAAAATCTTGTCGATACATACCTTGTTGGAAATTTATGTTTGGATCTAAATTCGGGTACATATTTTGCTGTGGCGTGTTTGCCTGTGGATCGTAGGGCATATATCCCATTGCGTTTACATCTGAGACCCTTTTTAGTTTCCTACCGAGGGCTAAAATTAGAAAAATCAAAGATGTGACAAACAAAATTGAGGTTAGGATTTTTTTTAAAGTCGAAATATTTGCTTAATTTACTGTTATACTTACACTGCCTGCCACTAGTATTTGCGTTATAGTTCATTTTATCTAAATTAATGATAATATCATTTAAATAAATAGTAAATTAGATGAAATTTTGAGAAAATAAGTTAACAGACACGTCAGACATTTGTTGTCACTGTCACCACAACTGTCATGAGCTGTCAAAAAGTTGAGTTGACTGACCATGAAGATGGAGGAATTAAACTTTTGGTATCACAATTTGTGTTAATTTAAAATAATAATATTTATTAAAATTAGATTGAGCTATATCAGTATTAATAATTATTTTAAGAAATAAATGTATTAAAATTTGGATAAAAAATGGCTACATCATAGATTTGAGAGAAGTTCAAAAGTCCAGTAGTAGATGGCAGTATATATCTAAATGCCATAAGCTTTCATAACTTTTTATATCATCTAAAATATTTTTTAAATAATTTTCAAGTTATTGCATAATTTTTTTTTAGAATTTGGTTATTAATTAATTTTTGAGTCACGAATAGATATTTAAATAAAGTTTACTGAAATATGACGTCATGAATGTTTAGTTTTCGGGTATTGCAGAATCCTCTTTGGGACAATTTTATTAATTTTAATAGGTTAACTATTTCTTGGATAGAGGGCTCTACCAATTCCATAAGGAAATTATTCTATTTTTCAAATAATAGGACTTATGAACTTTTCTTTGGAAAGTATTTTATTACATCACTATTACTATCAATATCGATAAAATGTCTTTCACAGTCTATATAAGAAGATAAAATTTTGGAAATTACATTATTAGCAAGTGATATAAATGAAAATATATATACAGGATCCGAAGTAAGGTCGACCTTCACCCATCTGTTTAACGGATGAGTTAGTATGTCTACTAAGGTTAATTTAATAGGCTATTTTTATGAACTTCTTTTTTATTCGAGCTAAGTTTTAGAAAGCTGTAAATATATAGATCGTAAAGGGTAGATAGGTATCTATTCAACTGCTCGAATGTGGATATTTTCATGGATTAAAAAATATTCACAAAATCTTTTCCACAAAATTTTGTGGTTCAGATTATCTGCACATTATTTCTTTTATTCACATGATTCACTTGTCACCTAGGATGAAACAGCGCAGATCCCTAAAATCGTGTAATAGTATTGATTATTCTCTGTAAAACCAATAATTAGGCATTCCAACGACCTGCTGCTGTAGATATTGATATGGCAACCCTGCGGGCCTGGTGGCTTTGACAGGGTCAATGCTATATTTATATATAGCATTGACCCTTCGTTCCACTGGTGTAGTTGGGTGTAGTAATGAACTACACCAACCCACACCCATACCTTTCGTTTGGTCCGGTGTAAAACCCACTATACCGTCCTGTCAGCGATGTGGTGTACACTGGTGGATATTTTCTCCACCAGCTATTTAGCAGGAGTGAATTACACTCGACGATGTGTATAAGGAGGAAGTAAATTAGGGTAAATAAGGTCAGAGACAATCCAGCGAGACGTGTAACTCAATGTATTTTTTTTGTTCGGTAAAACTTATTTGGGCGATTGTAACCACAACCAGTCTATGATGGCGCCACTAGTAAATAGCGGGAAAATTAAAAATGCTTTAGGGCGGGAAATTCAAACATGGATTCAGAAATCGTTTTTGTATACAACAAATTTACAAGAGAAACAAAAACTGTTTCACTGTTTATTAAAAAAAAATATAAAAGCTTCCAATATCATCAAATTTTTTATCATATAAATAATCATTTTAATAAAGGAAGTTTTAATCAGTTTAATATAAGCAGTGAACATAGTTTTTATTACTCTTGTAAATTTCGCTAAAAAAACTTGAAAATTCTATTGATTATTAAATATTTAAACTTGGAAAAATAATACACCAAACTCTTTTTCTATAAATTATATTTTTTTAAGGTACAGAAAAACAAACTACAATTGCTTTGTTTAGAAAGTACCTCCTATCATTTTGTGACAAATTACAAAGAAAGTAACAGTTGTTATATATTCATAATATATTTAAAAACTAATGTAACAAATATTTTATAAAGCATAGAGTATATCGATACCTTTTTGCCAGACTATCATAAGTGCCATTTGAACAAATGTCGCTTATGTTAGTCTGGCAAAAAGGTATCGATATGTTATGACTGTTTATTTTAATAGAAACCATGGAAATGAAACAAACACACATACACTCAACACAAATGTATAAGGCCTGAGTGGAGTTCCCATCCTGTAAACTGGATCCTCCTGCTAACTCTTCTTAGGGTAATCAAGATCAATAGATTTATATGTCATGCCTTCTAAAATGGAATGAAGGATGACATACTATCATTTAAACAGGACGTTGCTGAAGGCTTACCCCTGTTATTTTGTTTGTGTATCTTGTGTGTGTGCATTCCTGTTGTGTCCCCAGTCATGTAAAAGTTTTCCTAGTCTCCTAATTTGGTTACTAGGTGGACCTTCTCCAACTAGTAGTCTAATCTATTCTATCTGTTCTGCAGCAGGAGGTACTTTTCAAACATAGCAAATAATATTATTAATAATAAACACTATTTAAAGATAAATACATTTTGGTAATTTTTTTGTCATTGCCCCTTATCTTTCTCTTACACCACCAGGGTATACCTATTTTCCATATTCCCTTAATTATAGATTACCTTACAATGTTCAAATGAATATAACATTTTACTCATGAAAAATCTAATTTCATATTTAACTCTTTTTCAATTTCATTTGAAACAATAATTGGTACCTATATTACAATTTATTATCAAAGAAAATTTCTAATAAAGTTATAGCAAATCCTACTTAAACTACTGGTTGTTCTGCAGGATAAATTAACTTTTCTTAAGATTGATCTCTCTATAAAATCCAAAACCGACCTGATGTCCCCAAATTTATTTTCCAATGCATCCTGATTTAAAATTCTGCCCTTTTGTGATTCAATTTTTTTTTTCTTCCTTTAGAGTGGCTGTTAGAGGTAGGTGTATGTAAGAAATAGCTAATCTCTAATCATTTCAAAAGTACTTTGCCAATACTACATGTGCAGATTTTTTACTCAGCATACATTTAACTTTTCTAGTAGATAGGAACTTTGTGCTGCCATTAAAGCTGTCCAGACATTCATCTACCTACTTAATGAACACAAGTAGCTGTAACAATGGATCTCTGTTCCAATTCACCTAAAATAATTATAGTCATTGTGTAATATATTATTAAACACACACATTATACACATATACATAATAAATTGGAAATTACTTACCTCTAGAAAGAAATGTATACAAAAACGCGAGTTTGGTTCCAGAAATTGCTTCATGCAAAAAATAATATGCAAAAATAAACATTCCCCCCAAAGAAAAATAATTAAACAACAAAATCAGACTAAAAGAAATATACGGGGCCCAAATTAAATTAATTTTAATAAAATGCACATGTTCGTAACAACATTCATAACATTGTCAGCATGGAGCACAATATATCCCCTATAGTGTAGTGCATCTCACTTGTTAATGAGTTGGCACTAAGTTTGCAGCGCAAGAATGCGTCTGTGTCTGGCCGCTCAACTAACTCGATATGGCGGTAAATTCAAATATAATTTAAAGGCAAAATTTAAATTTCCCGCCAAAATTGTAAATTTTCAGCCGCGGAATGGCGGGAATTTTTAAATATATTCATTCGGCAATAATTATTGAGAAGTATATTGCATGTTCGATTAAACGAGCTGTAAATCCAGGCGCTATTTTTATTTTGATAGCTAAAAATAATACTAATTCTTTTATTATTAGCTATTACAATAAGAGCAGCATTTGGATTAACAACACATTTAAAAAAACATGTAATATACTTTTCAATTTTACCTAAATCACTTATTTTTTACCTATAGAGGTTAGATCTGAAAAAAAATTGGCTCTGGTAAAAAAACAAAAAATTGTATAAAGTATTTTATTTGAAAAATTATAAAACTTATTTAATATATTTTAAAGACGATGATAACTCTAGCCATATCCATTTTACTGAAAAAAAAAGAAACTATTAAATGAAATCATTTAGTTATTAAGAGCTGTTTGTGATAATACAGTGGCAGCTATCGAATGTTGTACAATACGTTTTGCTAATGTCCAAGTAAAAACTACAAAGAGTTAGCATTAGTGGGAGAAGGAATAGAATACTATGAACGTAGCCAGCCGGCTACGTGGGGATGCATCACACCGTGTGCCTGTTCATATTACACAGCACACAAGGCAACATTCATATTATTCGTTTCCTGATCGAACTAATGCGCTAACTCTTTAGTTTTATTTTCGATTCTAGCCAAGCGTATTGGAAAGTGTTTATTAGCCGATACTGTATATAAATGCTAAAATCAATAAGTGAAATAAAAAAATTTAGTTTAAATTGACATATACTTCGAAAAAAGTAAATTATTATACTTGAATTTTAAAGGCTGTTGCCACTGGAAAACTATTATCTAGGGCTTGGATGACAGCCATAGGACTCCCTCCTTGAATCGTGTCCATAGGAAAGCATAAGATCATAGTTAAATTATAATATTAAGAGGGTAGGTATTAACTGAAAAATTATTACAAACTTACCTCAAAATTGGCACCTACATTAAAAGAAGGGAAAACGGAAACATAAAATTGTTATACTTGAATTTTAAAGGCTTTTCCCACTGGAAAAGTATTATCTAGGGCGCAGACCCTTGGATGACAGCCATAGATAGCAATCCCTCCTCGATTCCTCTTTTTCTGAGTTTGTTGTACGTTTTGTTTCCCATATTAAATAAGAAAGCACTTAATACAACAACACAAATCACAATAAATATCGCTGAAACAAAATTAATATTAAATTTCGTAGAAGAAAAAATCAAAAAATTATCACTTGTCAACACTGACACTTCACGCTTCACTTATAAAAACTCAACGCTAAAGAATGAAAGATGATTCGAAATAGAAATTATTAACTGGTATCTCTTTCTTTTATAAGTATCTAAACAAAGAGAAGGAGTGGGAGTGAGTAACGCTCCGATCAGATTGTTTTGAATTCGTCGTCAACCAATGAACGTGCCGAAGTCAAAAATCAATAACGATACTAGCGCCATGAGACCTGTGTCTGGCCGCAGCGTAACTCAAAGCCATTTCTTG